GCGACACAATCGTCATGAAAGGACGAAGGGGCAGTCGTCCTTTTGCCAACAATGGAGCGCATTTAGTTGACAGGGTCGAAAAGACACGCCCCCAAACCTTTTTATCTCCCCATTACAAAGCCGACAAACTAAGCGAAAGTTTTGCAAGAAACTGCTGCTGGAAAAAAATGAAATAAACTCCGTGCCCAACAACTCAAAGGCAGACGGCAGTGCGTGCTCATTAGATCACCATTGTGCTGCATCCGGAACGGCGTATTAAGGATTCTAGATTACGGATTCCGGCTTCCGGAGTCGCTGGCACTTCCACTTCCCTCCTCCTCCACCCACATCAATTTGTCGTGTCAACAGCAAAACTAATTTATTTACGAGCTCGCTTTAAACCCTGATTATTCATACGCACTTGCGGCCCCCTTTGAACGTCCTGTGTCCTGTGTCCTGCATCCTGCGCCTCTGTTGACTTTCATTAGCTCAAATTACGCAAAAGTACTCGAGCGTCACACGCATAAATCAGACGGCAAATCAAATTCACTTGCAGATGCAGTCCGCAGCCTCCATTCTGCTCGGCTTGCAATGGACTGGCAGCCCATAAACGGCGACCCCGATACGAACCATTGGCTGTTCCTATTACCTATCCGTACACAGAGAGAAATCGGTAGGGACAAGTATTAAAAGTCAAATAAAAAAAACGCGCTAGTTCATTTGCTTATTATAAGTTTTTGAAAATCAACAAAATAAGAGCTTGAAATCTATGGAACCATTCATTAATCGTTAAAATAAGACAACGAATTCTTTAGAGAAATAATTGTTACTAAAGTTACTTAAGTATTTATGATCTAATATACAAATTTTCTTCTAGTATAAAATACATTTTAAAATAACAGCCCATTGTATTGTTCTAAAAGTAAGATTAATAACAATACAAAGTGATACAATATAGAAATATCTTATTATTTTCCCAGCGTACTTCTCCAAATGTCACTGGCTGTGCGGTGGCCACGCCCTGGTCATGTCGATGCCACCGCCTGTGTTTGGTTTACGTGCTTAAATTGGCAATTAGCAGATTAATTGTCACTGCCAATATATGCGTCAATATTTTGTGGAACCGACAGATGCAGTTCGGTTGCTCCGGCCCTTGCACGTAGAATGTAGTTTGCTTTACGGCCCTGTTGTGTACACAATTGCTGCTCTGTTGCTGTTTGATTTCACTAACGAGCATTAGCATAAATTGCTCCAGTTGAAGAGGCGATGGCCATATGCCATTCGATGCGTTTCGTGTGCATCATTTAGTCGTGGCCACTAGGAACCAAAATTAACAAGGACTGTCAACATTTTTGGCACAGGAAAACGCACCCGTTTGAACATTTTGGAGTCAATCAATTGTAAATTTTTAATGAGTTTTCATTCTGCATTAGGCCCCGAGTTCGACATCAACTGACAGGGCAGGATGTGGCCACCAGGGACGTGGTTTTTGCCCCGCACTCTCCCTTTTCTGACTAAGCAATTTGTCACACTAATTAGCTGCTGCTGCGGTTGCCCGCTAGATGGCGTCGGGCCATGTCACAAATATTGCGCATACGCCACCGCTCCCTTGCAGCAAATAACCGATGCAAATTGGTTTGTAAATGAGCTGTGGCAAAGCAATCGGTCTTCCATTACTCGACATAATGGCTATTTTCTTAGAATTTATTTTTGAATCACAACAAATTTAGGGAACTAATTGCAATTAATAGATATTTTTATTCTAAATGTTTTCTGTAACAATAAATATAAAAGTTAGTTTTCAGGGGTTATAAATACATTAAATAAACGATAACCATAGTTTTTACTTTTTTATTACACGGCCAAACAGAAATGCAAACAAGCATTTATTTAATTTTATTCTGTTTTCAATTCGTTATCTAGTTGAGGGTATGCTTGGTGCCGAGTATCCTTTTCCGTCTGGTTCAGATGTCTTGTCTCCGCTCTAGCCGCAATAATTTCACACAAAATATTTCCGCAACACATCGTCGATGGCAGGTCCTTTACCACTTTCGCCCCCTTTCCTCCCGAGGATGTCCTGCGATACTTGTCGTTGCTGCTCGAGCTGCATTTCACTTGACTTCACGTCCTCATCCAGCTGCAACTTATCATTTTATAAGCATTTGTTTTTCCTCTTGTTTCTGTTTTTGTTTGCCTGCTCCGAACCCGTGTTGTTTTTTCTGTGTGCAGCATAACAAAATATTTTGTTGCATTTTGTTTTCTCTGGCCCCCAGTGAGCACTTTATGTGACAGACACTTTAAAATGTGGCAAAGTGTTTTTTTTCCTGGCCAGCCATGTCCTCGAAGCCCTGGTCACATGCCCCTCTTCTTGAGGGCCATTCCAAGGCAGAATTAATGCAAAATTATGTGCCACGTAAACTAATTTTTATAAGGGGCATACTGGCCTACGATTTACGACCCCTCGCACTTGGCCGCAATCCTTTCATAACATCCGGCTACCATTTTATTGCCCCGTTTGCTGCCACTTAAAAATGGGGCGAGAAAAAACCAAAAAATACCGCGTGGCGCATTAAAATGTTGCCCAAGCCTCCAACTCCAAGGCCCTCAATTCTCTTCACACTCACAAAATATATTATATATTAAAAAAACTTTTATTTTTTTGACTCAAAACAAAATATATATTTTTGATTAGTTTGAGCTAGCAATGCATGGAGCATTTACGTCCAGTAGAATTAAGATTCCACAATTAAACCAACTGTGGTTCAAGGTAAGTAAACCTTATTTTAAGTGTTAAGACCTTTTTTAGCTTTTTTTTTGTTATGTTAAATAAAAATGCCTTTATTTAAAGTAAGACCTTTTTTAAGCTCGTACCAATTAAAATTTTAAAATTGCTGTTTGAAATTTTTTAAATATGAATAACTATGATTGAGTAATTCTTTTAAAACATTTTTCGAAAAATAATATTTCGATTTTCTTCAAAATATCTTCAAAATATTGTTTCTTATAAACTAATCGTAAATTAATTTAAAAAAAAACTAAAAAAATCTTGAGCGGAACTAAAGTTTTTTTTTGCCTTGAATCAAGTTTTATTTTGTAACGATACTGTGGAGATGAATACTGAGTTGTAAATTAAAAGACAGCTATGGGGATATATTTCTTCAAGTGCAGCTGTTGTTGTTAGAGCTGAAATTTATATTAGGCCAACAAAGTCGCCCTGCGGGAAAAGAGGGGGGGTTGGGGCTGCCTTTGGCAATGGCGCCTGCTCTCAAGTGCTCATAAATTCACGAAAATTTCACAGCCGCCGACGGACCAACAAAATAAAAAGCGTCGACAAGGGCAAGGGGGTGGGGATTTGGGGGAGTGGCGTCAGCTGTTGCAGCCCTCGGTCACAGCACCCCCACCCAAATCCATTTTCAGAGGCAGTGGCACACACTCGACTTTGGTTTGGCAACATAAATTGTTAAAGAATTGCCACTTTACAGTCGTAAGGAGCACATAAGCCGGACAAATAAAAACCCTTTTTGCCACGGCCAAATCCTTGAGGTTGGTCCTTGGTCAACGGGGATGCAGTGGAGCAATCAGTCGCAGACCTCGGATTGGATGTCATAAAAATGCCATCTACGAAAGGGAGCACTTAAAGCTGCGTTGGCGGTTCTTTGTCATCATTATGGCATCCAATTTGTACTCAATAAAAGCGCCAATTCAACCATGATGAGAGCGATGGCCGATGTCCTGCCAGTGAGTCCTGGCAATTGTTTTCCATCAAAGTAACATGTCCATGGGAATGAGCTACGGACTGCCTGCCAATCCATTGAAGGATGCTGCAATTTTCGGCCATCCCAGTGGTCATGTGTTATCTGTGTGTCCGTGTCCGAAGTCCGAGTTCGTGGTTCGAGGTCCTTGCATGTGAAGTGCCGTGATTTATAAGCGCTTTGCTGGCGATAACAAAAGTGGGCTGGGCCAGCAAACAATGGGCATGAGGATGCAGGAACACATGCAAATTCCACATACCACAGACGACAGAGCCTTCTTTCAATTTTCTTTGTACGGTTTTGTGGTCGCTTGGCTTTCCGGCAAATTTTTATCTCAAGTTTCGGGTGCCCCGTTGACAATAAAAATGGCAATAGGATGGCAGCGAGGCCATCGCAACCGCACAAAGTCCTTTCCTTCTGGCCCATATCATTAATTTTGCACAAAAGGACGAAATGTCCTTTGGCCAAGTGCAGAACTGGGCAGTCGGCGGTATCCTCTGACCGGAGGACCAGAAAATAAATAAGGCAAGCAGACTTTGTTGTGCATTGGCAGCTCTGCGGTTGGGATTGCTTTGGTTTTGCACGGCAAAAAAATAATATTATTGTTTAAAAAAATGTTTTATTTTGTATTCTAATACAGTAATCTTGATTAACTTAAAATATAAATTATTTCTTAATAACTGAAACCCTTTATTAAACATTAAACTTGTATTATTTAAACCTGCTTCTGGGATAGTATTTTTATGTTACCGCATTTTCTTGCTGTGCTTATGGGTTCTAGAGTGAAAATGTGGTTGAGGTCAAGCCAAAGGAAGAGGCTGCAACACGTTCGACATTTTGTGGTCTTCATGCTGCGTTGGGTTTTGCCAAATTGAAATTGTTTTGCCAAAACAACGGCTCTTGAAAAGCAACTAAAAACAAGAGACCACTGATTGGGAGGTAGATATAATAAATTAAAAAACAATACTAAGAAAAACCCTAGGTTTTCTAGCCAAACCACGTTTCTTCTTAATTAGCAAATATAAATTTCATCTAATTAAGCCTGCTGCTAAGTTATAAAATATTTATCTCGAATATTAACAACAACATTAAATAAATAATAAGACTGTTATTAACATGATTGTTATTTTATACGTTATAAACCATATATTACTTCAAACGGTTTGTCCGGTACAGAAATTCTAAGATATATGTGGGGATGTTAGCTCTGTTATAGTGCAAACGACAATAATGCCTTTTGAATTAAAATCATATTGATTTACGAAAAAGTTTTAGGGACACAACACATTTGAGAATGTCCGAACAGGATAAAAGTACCTCCGGCTCGAACGCGGATTCGAGGCAAAAGGGGCGCAATAGCAAGACAAAGCGCCAATTTCAATGCTGCGTCGCCAGGGAATGTACGATTACAGGGTATTAAGGGTCTTATTCTTATCTCATGCCCTACCCTTCTTCAGACTACAGTGAGTACTCCAACATGGTTGAATCGCTGCATATTACGCCGCGAATGATGGTCCACCAAAAGAGATTCAAGGTCGATAACACTTACGGTCTGACTCTCAACATCAAAAACAACGGATTGGTAAGTATTTATATAGTTTGTAATCTTCTGAGGAGAAACGGGTTCAATCAAGTTTACATTTACCCCGCAGTTCCCCCGCCTGATCAATATAACCTCTGACAGTCCCGAAGACACATCCATTTCTATACCGGAACTGGACCTCCACCGCTACTTGGACACCGATGAGACTTTGGAGGTGAAGATCTGGATCCGGGCATCTTTCAAACGCGACATAAACCGCCGGCGCCACATCCTTATCGAGTGCTTCCACCCGAATATTATATTTCAAGTGCCCATCATTGGTAACCTCGTCACATCTGAGTGTTTCCCAGTTCTTATGGTACTTCTCCGTAGTTTTGGATAAACTAAACCATCCGTCGATCAGCGACACAATCACTTTTCCGAGCTGTGTTCCCGGCAACAAGACCCACTACGAAATGATAATCTACAACCCCACCAAAGAGCGCATCCGAGTGCGGTACAGAAAGTGAGTTATGCATATCTATGTCGAAATTTAAACCTTATATATTATAACACTCGGGTTCTCTAAATAACTAATGAGCCCCTTTTTAGCACAAACCGCGGCCTGGAGATCAATGATAACAACAAGGACATCCTGCCGCCACAGGATTACGCCAAGCTCCTGTTAAGCATCCAACCGAAAAAGCTGAACGTGTACAAGGGTTTTTTCAACATCAAGTTTGGAGTGTGTAGGTATCTCCAGAAGCCATATAAATGATTACCCCTGAACACCACACATCCGTAGTGCCTCCCAAGCCGGTGATGTTTGTCTTTACGCCCAAGTCGATGAGTGTGCACCTGAATTTAGGAAGCGTGGTCTTCAGCATGACAAAATTCTCCCGCGAGGAACTTCGCATGGTGACTGTGTGTAACGAGGGTCTGCATGAGGCATACGTCTCCGGTGATTTCTACTCGGAACCGGCTGCAAAGGAGCCCATTGAAACACCCGAAGAGGAGGAAAAAATCTCCAACAAACTGATCGACGATGCCGTCAGCATGCACAGTGTACTGCTCTTCGACTTCGAGGATCACACGAGTGTGCAGAACGTCTTGATCGATGCGAAGGCGGTCAAGCACTTTGACTTCAACCTGCCAAATAGGATCTCGGCCGGAAGCTCGGCGGACATTGTGCTGATCTTCCGGCCGACTTACGATGCGGAAAATCCGTTTTCGGATGACTTGGAGCCCCCCTACTTTCAGCGCACTCGGGCCACCTTTTGCTTCAGTGACGCCCAGGACTGCATCGAATCGCATTACGTCATCTTGGCTGGATCAATCGAGGGCATCGAAATGGAGTTCCACCCGAAAGTGATTGACTTCCGGAAAATCTACCTTGGCGAAGAGCACTGCGCCCAGATTAAAGTCCTTAATGTTGATGGTAAGCATATCTCGGAGGTTTTTAATAATTTTATAGAAAGGTCACTAGGTAGCCAATCAGCGATTGAGGGGCTTACCATTTATCGCTTCCTTACCATAAATTTGAATTATCTACGCAGCTGTGCCGGCCAAAGTGGAGTACAAGGACTGTACGGATCCTGATGCGGCCGGCATACGCATCACTCCTCCAGAAGGATTCCTGCTGGAGCCCTGCACCCGTGGTATATTTAACGTGTCCTTCTACTCGTTGTATCCCGCCCGCTTCACAATAACTCTGCGCTTCAAGGTGGAGAATGGGGCCCACTACAAGGTGCAGCTAAAGTAACTATCTGACTGATCGGCAGTGATCCCTCCACTGATCTCAATGATCCTTTCCAGGGGCACGGGACAGCCGGTGCAGCTGCGCACCTTTCCCCAGTTGGTGGAGTTCGGGAGCATTCCTATGGCCGTGCCCCAGAAAAGGTATATGCTACTAATGAATCCTCTGGCCGTGCCCATAACGCTCCAGGTGAAACCCACCGACGATGGTGAAGAGACACCGCTGGTCCTCAATATACGCAACTCCACGGAGATGCTGCCCATAACAGTGCGGGATCCCATCCGTCATCTGCAGCAGGTGCACGAGGAACTGCAGAACCACGAACCGGAAGAGCCCAGGGAGATCCGACTCACGAGCACCGCGTCGGAAGTAATGTCTGTGAGGTCAGTTAAGATGAGCGAATCAAACTACAGTTTGGAGTTTGAGGAGGAAGTGATGGGTAAGCATTTACTATACAAGAAAGATGACTCACTACTCATCTCCCACTTAGAGCCCATTCCACAGATGGCTGCCCATCTGCTGACCAACCTGAAGAAACAGAAGATCTTTGACAAGTCGGAGACAGATCGCCGGGTTATCCAGGAGGCGCTGATGGGTCTGCTCAACACGAAGTACTTTTCTGTTTTCACCAAGCACAACAACTACATTTTCATGGACTGGAACGCGATTCCCAGCGATCCACGTGAGGTGTTCTGCGACAATGAGATTATTTATCTGCGTCCGAACACAGGCCGCAGCATAACCATTCTTTTAGTGCCCAACAAAGTCGGCTACTTCCATCGATCGCTGTCGGTGCGCATATGTCCCGCCGTGGCATCGCCCTCTTTTGGTGATTCCAGCGATGATCATCCCCTGATGAAAACCCTCATCAAGTCGGAGTTTCTCTGCTCGAAGCTCTGGTTTGAGTACAACTGCGTGGTCCCCGAAATTGTGTGGTCAAATATGGTGGATCTTTCACACCGAACAATCTACGCTGGCGAGGACTACGACTTCGAAATGACCTTCTCCAATAGCTCTATCATAGGCGCCTTTCTTCACTACGATGTCATTGTGAGTACTTGGAAATCCCGAAGAATTGCTCTTGTAAGCGTTATTAATCTCTCCAATATCCTAATCCCCTCGCCAGCCCACCGACATGACTTTTCGGGACGGCACCTGGAAGTTCTTCATTGACGGCGGATCGGAGATTACTGCGAAGTGTGCGGTCACCTTCCGATCTTTGGGCAGCACCCGGCTATCGGGTCTTGTCAAGATTGTGGGCGCCAACCGACCATACGCTTTCCATCTGTTCGCCAATGTACTGCCCACTGAGATCCGGGTTACGCCGATGTACGTGCACCAGCGACTGCAGGTCTACGACAAGAGCCTGGTGCACTTCTATATCGACAACTATACGCCCACGCACACAAAGTTGAGCATGAGACTGGTAAGGTTGCCTCAAGTCAGAACTACTTATATATCAAAAGGGTCAGATTCAAACATCCATAATTTTACTATTGCTTTTAGTTGTTGTTAACGAAAATTATCTCTTACATTAATATTTATTTGATATTTTGAGCATATATTTTGATATACTATATAATATGAAATTTATAACGATATTTTAACGCTTGTGACTCTACCAAAAAGTTATGTATCATCTTATAAATATAATATAATATTATATTTTTCATCTTTGTCATTTTTATCCATTTCCCAGAACTAACTTCTTTCATATTTCCTTTTTAGAAAGACATCGAGTTCCAGTATTTAACACTGAGAGGTGGATCTTTGGCTTCCACTGGCCAAAGCATGTATACCACCTTGGTGTCGTTGTTCACCGATCCCGATCTCTACCAGAATACCCTGTATATTGACCTGCAGTTCGACAACGTGATGATGATTCCCATCACCTTTCTGGTGGAGGGAGTGCCACTCTACTTCGAGCCTGATATCCGCCAGGGATTCTACGCAGGATTGCTGTACACCGATACCAAGGAGCAGTTTCAGGAGGGCTTCTACCAGCACCGCTTTCCCATCCGGGTGATCAACAAGGGTCATCGTGCCTACCGCATTCTAATTATCCGGTTGAATAGTTATGGACCGGGGGCCAAAGTGTCCTCCGCTTGCTCCACCAACGCTTTAACTGCCCGTTTTGACATGGAACCGAAAAACATCTACATGTCGCCCAGTTGCGAAAGTCAACTGGACATTATGGCCAGCTCTTATGTGGAAGGACACGCCACCGGCGACTTCCTGCTGCAGGTCATCGACCAAAAGTACCCGCAGCGCAAACACATCATCAGAATCACGACCTCCGCAGACTTTGTGGATTGCCTGCTACACTGGAGTCCTAGGCAGGTGAGAATATGTTTATTTAAACAAATTAAATGTATGATAGAAATATTTAATTTTAAGCATAAAATATTTTTATTTGTTTTTTTTTCTTGATTACAATTTGAATAAGACTTTCAACAATTGTATATGGTAGGTTCATAGTTTAATTCATAGTAAACAAGAGAGGGATGGATGATAAACACAATAAAACTGCATTTTTACTTTTCCGAAATATTTAAATTTTTAAAATCGTATATAAGCGATTGTGGGCGTTAAAGGGGGCGTGGCACCCTTTTGAAACAAACTTGCGCTGCGTAGGAACTCCTAGAATCTGCATGCAAAATGCCAATCCTCTAGCTTTTATAGTTTCCGAGATCTCAGCGTTCATACGGACGGACATACGGACAGACGGACATGGCTAGATCGACTCGGCTAGTGATCCTGAACTAGAATATATATACTTTGTAGGGTCGGAAACGCTGTTACATACTTTTGCACGAATACTCTACGAGTAACGGGTATAAATATGTATAGTTTATTTATAAATTACATTTATATATATACATTTTTTCACTTAAATCAATAATTAATTAAATTTGCAAAGGTAAACTTTAACTATAAGCGCTGTGAGCCTCTGAAGGAACGTTTATATGAGGAGACGCCTTTTCTGGTGAATCCCTGTTCAGCACCTCTCGAAAAAATAATCCTCCAGGTGACCGGTCCTTTTAAAATCAAGGAATATTACGAGGACACTTACGAGAAGGAAATACAGATCAGTTTGGGTGGCGGAGAACGCAAGGAAATCTTTGTCATCCTCAAGTTGGGAGCTCTGAAGCAGCTCTTCTGTCGCCAAATCGAGGGAAGAATCAATGTGATGGCGCTGGGAAAGCAGTTGAAGTCACTCCCACTCCGGGTGTCAATAATGGTTCCAGATGTTGTGATCCTGCAGCCAGAATTGGTCCTCTTCGATCGAGGCAAACCGTACGACAGTAGCATTAACCTAGTTAACCAAGGCTGCATGCCAGCGGAGTTTAAGTGGAAGAGGCTGGAGACCACCGAGATTTTCATAGGCGACGAGGATGATCCGGAGGGCATTGCAGCGGATGTTCTGTCCGAGATCCTGCGCATGCTGGAGTACGATTTCAGCTGCGAGGATCAGCCAAATATGACGAAGAGATACCAAGAGTGCCGCTGCCAGTTTCGTCGTTTTGAGGAGGATGGCGACTTGATACTGGAGATCTTGGAAGAGGTGATAAACGAACTGGACCTGAGGCACCGACCATTGCTCTATCCACCAAAAATTCCACTCGACGAAGAGGAGGACAGAGATCAAAGTTCGTCGAGTGTTGTGCGGGAAACCATTTCGGATATACTCAATCGCCTTCACCTCGACTCGAGCGATAAGTGGTCGGAGGCATCCAGCGAGTACTGCTTCGCCAGCCGCTATATCTACTTTTACGAAAAGAGGGGCACGGTGGAAACGGATCACGAGTGTAAGCTTTATCTGCCACACATCCGACGAAGCCACGAAATGCGGGCAGTTTTCGAGTTGGCTTTAGTGGGCGGACGAAGTCAGCGTTTCTCCGTCACCTTAGTCAATCTGCCTCAGAAGATAAAGTTCCACAAGGACAGCATCTACATGGGAATCAAGGTGGGTATATGATAGAGTAATATTAGAAACAATGCCGAATTTTAGACAAAAAATCATTTGAAGTTAAACAAAATATTTTTTTAGAAAATAAAAAACGATTTTAAAAAAATTGTAAAATTAGGATTTGAAAGATCTTTAAAAATGAAAACACCTTTTATAAAATATTTTATAAATTTGTCGGCGATGATACAGCTACATATATTTATATATCTAAGTATTATTCCATCTGTCCTAATTCTGCTTATTTTCAGCCCTGGTACGAGTCCTTCGACACCGTGGTGCGTGTCTCCAACCTGACCAAGTATCCACTCCAAGTGGTTGTGGTCGAGGTGAAAAACCCGATGGTCAAGCCGCCCAAAGAGCAACCACTGGAAAAGCGTCTGGTTGATGGATACTGCAAGATGATGACCAGCGATATGATCAATCTGGAACCTCTAGGAAGCGATCAGATCAAAGTGAAAGGCATACTGGGTTTCAGCGAGAGCTTTAAGCACACTTTTGGAGCCATGATCAACAACAGTGACTCCAATTATTTTTGTCTGCGGGGACAGGGCGTGATGCCCATGTTGGACATGGCATCTCCACTGCCCAGTACTCCCTTGGATCCTCTGGAGATCAAGGAGGAGTACCGATTGCTGCAAAAGATTTACCACTATGAGATCTTTCGCACCATCACAGAAGTGGATGAAGAGCCGAAACAGGAAGGAGGAGAGGAGGAGCACCAAGTGGAAGACATAGTCTCGGTCACAGAGGATTTCTCTTTGCTATTATCCAGCCAGGACGAAATGAGCTCCGAGCGACAGAACTTGCACGACTTGCAGCTCTTCCGCATGGTGCACACTTATGTGATGGTGAATAACAACCAGGAATTGCCCCATGCCACAGTTTTGAGGCAATTGATCCTGGCAGAGAGGTATTTAAAGCGCCTGCGTCTGAAACCCGAGTTGTATTCGGTGCATCAGCAGGTGTTCCAAACATACCAGAAGATCCACAAGGCACCGGGTTTCAAACAGCCGGCGATGGTCAAACACTTCACCGTTCAACCCATTCCATGCGAGCAACACGGCTATGTCCTGGACTTGGGTCGTTTGACCAGGAACACCTTGCGTCGATTCGAGCTCAAGTTGCACTTCTTTGGCCCCGGCAAACTTATTGCCGCAGCACGCACTGCTGTTAGGATTCCGGGTCTATATGTTGATTTCAACGTGAAGGAGGCACAACAGTGAGTAATGCTGAAAACATTTTCATACTATTCCAAATTCCAAACCAAAGTCATTAGTGCGGATAAAAAATTCTCCTTCTGGGCTGAGAGGTGCAAAGCTTTGGAATACTTTAAGGACAAGTACAGGAATATGTTAGAGCGACTGATGGACGCGGAAAAGGATCCCAAGGTGAAACACGCCCACTCCTTTGACCTGGACAAACTGGTCAAGCACCAGCGGGATCTGACGCCAAAGGACCGTCGTCTGATCGAGGAGTACTACAACAGCCTGAATCCCTCCGTCTATCCGGACCACAAGCATCATTTCACACTGGCCAAGATCTTCTCCGGCTGCTTGTCCAACTATTCTGGAGTGGACGTGACCATGGTCGGATTGTTTAAGCCACAGTCGCGTTTCTACGAAAAGGACCAGCTTTTGGAAGACTACCTGTTCATTGATGTGAGAAATTTGAATTTAAACCGACATAACCTTCAACCTCTTACCCACAGCTGCACATGGGACCGACTCTTCCTATCCTACTAAAAGGCGTCATTGTGTCCTAGTTATCTTAAAATTTTATTTCCATTTATTGTGGGTTCTTGTTTGGAGTGGATGGTTGGGCTTCTCAGTTTTATGTGCAGTAATAAAGCTTATACTTTGGGTGAGCGGGAGCCCTCAGCAATACATGTTGAGCTGGCGGAAAAAGTAGTGAAAGATGAGCAGGACACAGAAGGAACTGGTCACGGGCAGACCAGCCGCTTTAATCCATCCGAGAATGTTGAAGTCGTCCGGGTAGAATTCGAACTGCTCGGTGGGGATCTCGCCGCAGTTGGAGATCACCACAGGCTCCACTGGGAAATCATCCGTATCCGTTTTGACCTGGAATGTAAAACGACTTGTCAGTAAAAATGCGTAATTTCCTTAGTTTTTTGGTTATGAAAACAAACGCTAGCTGCGGTCATGATTCGTATGAGCCTAATCGGACTTCTTTGAAAATCGATATTGAGAACCCGAGATAGTTAATTGCAAACAATTATTTGATTAAATTGTATATATTTTTTGTGCTTTCTTTATTTAAATTATCCTACCTTATAGCTTAAGATAGGTATATTAAATGCACATTACGAAAAAATAAATTAAAATCGATGATAAGTACGAAGCTAAAAATGTTTACTCAGTAATAATATAATTTTAATCGCTTAATCTCCATTTCTTCGAAGTAAGTTTGATTCGAGTTGCACAAATGTATAGAAAAGGAAATTATAAGTATACTCACATCCTCAATGGCGTATATGGTGTCCATTCCTTCCAGTACCTTGCCAAAAACTGTGTGCTTCCCATCCAGCCACTTGGCGCCCACGGTGGTCACATAAAACTGGCAGCCGTTGGAATCGGGACCGCGATTGGCCATTCCTAAGTAACCCGGTCTATTGTGCTCCACGGCTAAGGCCTTGTCTTCGTCCGGAAAATACTCGCCATAGATGCTAATGGAGCCAGTTCCATCGCCATTTAGGATATCTCCGCCCTGGATGAGGAATCGATCCACCACGCGATGGAAACGAGAACCCACGTAACTGGTTCCGTTGATCCCGCGCAGGCAGATGTGTCGGAAATTAGCCACTGTATTGGGAGCCAACTTCCCGAACAATCCAAAGGTTATCCTTCCCACCGGCTTCTTGTTGTGCTTGACATCGATGTAGATCCGTGACGTCACCGTGAAACTTAAGCCACTCACAGCGACCAAAAAGGAGCTACAGAAGATAATTAGGCTAAGAAAGTTCATAGTCGATGTGCTTCGGTCTCAACGCGCTGATGAAATACACAAAACTGAAACGAGGACTGGATTGTGAAAATTAGAGAATGTGAAAATCGTGAATATCTGGGCCGGAATCCATAGAAATTCCAGGTTAAGTGCAACCGCCGCATGATGATGGCATACCCCGTAAACACAAATCGATTTTAACACCCTGGCATTGTCGATTCTTTGCGCTGTTATATGGAAACTTGATTTGTGATAAACATTTCGAGTTTAAATACAAATTTTATTATATTTTGAAAGCGTTCTTTAAACAATATTAATCATCTAATATTTTGTATATTTTATATTTCCCGAGTGTAATCAATTTTTGCATTGATGTTTCGATGGTTAGTTAATCGACTATTCATGCGAAACATGAGAAAATATTCTGCCAGGGTAATAATAAATTTGGTCCCCTAATTTGTCTTAAAAAAAATAAATGCAATCGGTTTTCATCATATGACTTGGTCTTTAATAGTATGAACTTATAAATACGTAACTGTATGAATGATAAATGTATACAAAATTCGACAGGAGTCTCCGGTTTAAGTACTCGGCAACAATATGTTGCCTCATGGCTAAGAGGACTAAACGGAAATCTTAGACTAAATAACTTAGGGATAAGCTGCCTCTACACAAAAATATATCAGATACATATATACACTTAGATTAACTAAGAGCGGCTAACCTGGCTACAGTCTTCATGTGGGGATTTGATTCCAGAATCAGTACCTCCCTTGGGCGTCTGAGATCTATACAGCTGAATCTTCCGCAGAAGATTCGGGTAAGTTCTACATGCGATTCTTCTGTGGATGCACGTACTTGCAGTTCTTGCCCATGTTGCAGTGACCTCGCATAAATTGCTTGCAGATGCCCGTGTTGCCACCGCCGCCTCCTCCACCTCCTCGCTTGGAGCCAGATCCCGCTGACCGCCAGTTGCCGCCGGAGTTATCCTGGAAGTTGTTGCCACCGCTGCGCCAGTTACCGCCACCATTGTTTTTGTTCCGATTGTGGTTCCTGGGACCTCCGTTTTGCATGGGTCCAGGTCCCATTCCATTGGGGGGTCCGTTCATCATGGGTCCATTGGGTGGACCGTTCATCATAGGACCATTGGGTCCCATTACGGGACCATTGGGTCCCATCACGGGCCCGTTGGGTCCCATTCCTGGAGGTCCTGGTCCTGGGCCATTCATCATCATGGGCGGGTACTGATTAAATCCAGGTGGTGGTGGACCTCCGAATGGCGGCACTGGGTTGCCAAACTGATTGCCCATGAAGTTCTGTGGCGGCATGTTGTTCATATTGTTCATGTTATTCATGTTGTTCATGTCCATGCCTGGACCACCGGGACCATTCATCATGGGCGGTGCACCGGGTGGGACACCTCCGGGACCCATTTGGTTCTGCCAGATCTGCGGCGGTCCGTTGGGCATTAGATTGGGTGCAGGCGGCATACCCGCGGGAGCCGGCATACGACCCATGAAAGGATCGAAGGGATTTGTCATCATATTTGGTCCAGGTACTAAACCCGGCATCATGTTGTCATTGAAACCCATATCCGATCCGCCAGTATTCGCTCCGACTCCTGAACTGGGTGCATAGCCCTTGGGCTCCGGCCATGCTAAGGTACTATAGTCATTGACAGCATCTGGATTTCCAGTCAGATCATCCATGGGTATCACGGGAATGTCATGAGCAAAATGCGGTTCCAGTTCCGCCTCCGCAGCACTGTCGGGAATCATATCCGGTGAGAAGTAAAGGGCTCTCAGGGTGGTGGCTTCCCTGTCCATTTGCACTTGGCGTTGCTTGGAGAGATTTCCGTTCGGGTGATCGGGCACATTATCCACTTCGACCAGAGGACGCCACTCCATCTGCGGCTCCATCGTGTCATCGAATCCTCGTCGCGCAATGGTCAGGGCGTCCCGCTCGCTGAATCGCTCCATGTTCTTCATCTCCAGGAAGGTCTGCTTCATCACATTCACGCGCTCGGATCGATCCACCTCGAAATATCGGATCTGGGTGAGTTTATCCTCCGGCTGCCAGGTGAGCTTCTTTTTCGGGCCCTTGCGGCGGTGCAGCATCAGAACTCCAGGTGGTCCATCAGGTCCACAGCCAGGTCCGGGTTTTTTCGGCTCCTCCGGTAGATCTTCCGCGTTATCCGAGGTGTTGCCCGCTTCGGTGGCTTCTCCTCCAGCCGCTTCCTTCTCCTTCTGCACCTTCTGCTCGATGTCCTCCTTGACTCTCTTCAATGGTATATCATCGTCATCGCCATCTGTGTCCTTGCTGGGTGACCCAGAGCGCGCCTCGTCGTTCTCCTTGCTGCTGTCGTCCGATTTCTCTTCACTCTTCGAATCGTCTAGGGTGTCCTGGTAGAATTTGAGAGGCGCCACAGGCGCATCCTTGTCCGTGGGCGATGTTGCAGTCGACGCTCGCTTGCGCTTCACAACCTTTTTGGGCTCAATTGACGCGGCCAATGCGTCCGAGAATAGATTGGTCTCCACCAGGGTTTGAACTGAAAAAAACAAGGGAATAGTTAGTAATTGAACAACTAATTTGTTTGTTCAAATAATTGGTTTAGTGTGGTTTTCCTCGGAGTCGCCCAATTCGGTGGTCTTTGCTTTTGCTGGAAATCAAGGAAAGTAAACAACATAAAAATAATGGTCGGCCCACCCACTTAAAATCCCACAATGGCATGGTTAATAATTGAAGTAATTAGGGCATTTATTAGAAGAAAACCTAAACAGTCTAATCGAACCTAAAACCATGGAAAATAAATAACAAGCTTTTTTTATTGAGGTGTACATTGTCTTAAAGTTCCTTCTGTCAAAATTATTATTAACTGAGTTTTTCTTAAGTCGCAGAAAACCTCGTGGGAAGTAGTGCTCATTGTACTTGAGCTAAAGTTGATCGTTTAAATAATTTACAATCTTGTAGTAAAATGGGAATAAATACGTATTGTTTATTTCTGTACTGCTGTTTTGAATTGTAATTAAAAAGCTCTAACATTTAAATTTATTTAAAAAATCTAAATATTTTATGTTAATTCTTATTTGTCTTTTTGCAAGGTGATCTATATATTATTGTATTTTAGTCGAAACGAAAAATTTGTTATACCAAGTGTCAAGTGGAATCTATTACGAACAGTGTTTAAATTAAATGTTAAATGTAAATAGCTCTTGGTCTTGATCACCTTTGTGAGGCTATAACATATTTATTTAAAGAGTACATTAATTAAAATAGGTTACTATAAACATTATAATGGACCAATCATAATAAAACACAGCGATCAGAGGACGCCCATTAAACAGCTCTGCCAAATGTGACGCATCCTCTCATGATGCACTAACCATTTGGAAAGGGTGAAAGGGGGATTTCCCTTATCTAAACAAACAAGTATGGCGACCCTCGGTGACGCACAACAGCATAGTCGAGGCCAAAGCGAAGCAGCTGGGATTCATGGTGATCCACCTACCAACCGTCTAGAACCGCCAGCTCAAGTCAATATTATCGTTTTAGTTTCTTTTGCGCTCAATGCATTTTTTTTATTCAATAGAAAAATCGTATTTTTCTAGAGGAAATCGTATTTTTATTTGTATGTTTTAAGGTGGGCTTCTAGCCAAGTGAATCTACATACCTTATAGCTAAGCTAAGCAAAATACGTTCAAGATTTGAGGTTGGATACTTAACACCAAGCGGCAGTAGCGTCTGTGCCTCAGATTTCTTTTGGGTTTCGGTTTCGGTCTCAGCGCATGCGCAGTGCCCGGATGTCGTGGCCTCGAACATCATCCGTCATCTTCCGGGAGCAGCGTCTCTGACTCACACACTGGTAATTTACAATTCAAACTCGATCCAGAGATTACCTCTCGAATCGCAATCAATTTATACATAAAAATGCAAAGTAGCCTCTAAAAAGCCCCACTTGTGCACTAGAATTTAAGACCCATCCCAAGCAAAATTAAACACCTTGAGGAGAGAAGAGAGATGAACAAATAATACGGCGGAGTACGACTTTCGACTCCGATCGAACACAAAAGCAAAAACCACCAAAGACTCCGGGGCTGTGAAATGAAATAGAAAAGAAAGGGCATTAGTAGGATCACTCGAAATCAGATGCTTACTCTTTTTGGGCGCAATCAGTTTGGCGGCTCCGGGCCGCTCCACATGTCCCGCGATGCTGTTCATGTCGATCTTGGCCTTCTTCTCGGTGGGCGCATCCTTTGGCGGCGGCGATTGGCGCTTAAGCGGAGGTGGTACAGCCAAGAGAGGAACTGGGGTGGGAGTCGTCGACGACGTGGGTTTTTTCAGACCCTTGCGCGACGGGGGAGGTGGCGCCTCTTCGGTCAGGCCGTGCGATCTAAATTTGGACTGGTATGTCTTTACGGTAGCCGTTTTCTCCGTGTCCCGGCGTATCTCTATCGAAATGGAGGCCTTTCTGGACATGATTGGTATGGATCTGGGCTTCTGTGCCTCGCTCTCCTTGGCCAAAGCAGTGGGAGATGCACCTGCAGCTGCAGAAGGAGCTGGTGCCACTGCTGGCGGAGGCATTAACTTGTTATCTTTGTCCTTCTCCTGCTTCGACGATGACGAAGAGAACGACGACTTGTCCTTGCGATCTTTAGACGAACTAGAACCCGAGCTCGACGACGACGACGATGAGGAGGAGGACTTTGAGGACTTGTGTTTATTTGAGGAAGAGGATGAGGACGAACCGCTGCGCTCTCTGTCCTTGCTTGAACTGGACGAACCGGAACTTGAGCGAGCCTTGTCCTTATCGCGATGCTTATCGCTAGAACTGCGATAGGAGGAGGAAGATGAGGAGGAGCTCTTAGAGGAACTACTCTTCGAAGAGGAAGAGGAAGAGGAGGACGACGACGACTTATGGCTAGATGAGGAGGACCTGTGACTCGAGGAACTCTCCTTCTTCCTATCCTTCTCGCGCTCCTTCTCGGACCGTTTACTCTTGTCGCTTTTGGCGCTCTTATGCTTCTTATTATCAACGTCCTCCCCGGACTTAACCTCTGCCGCTGAACAACTATCATCTAAACTGGACTTTTTCCCCAGACTGGTGTCAGCTGCTGTTTGGGGCACAGATCCCTCTTCCTGCTGCACCTCATCATTGTCATTCAGGGAAGCTGCTGCTAGGGGGTCAGCTTCATCGCCATCTGGCTTATCAAGGAGCGGCTTCCACTTGATGGTTATGCTGTTGGAATTGCTGCTGTGGGCCGCCGATGTGATGGTGTAAGTAACGGGGGCGCCGGCACTGTCCGTGCTGTCTGAAGATGAGGCAGAGTCCGGGACTGGAGCAGCCGGGACAGCCGGCGCAGGAGGAGCTGCTGCGATTTGTGAAGAGGGCTGGATCACCACGTTTGTGTTCTCCGTCACAATCTTTAGCCATTGCTCCACCAAACGCTTGGCCAGAATTCGTACACCTGAAAAACGGGGTCGAAGAAAGGCAATTAGTAATCCCCAGGCAGAAAATTGGTAGAAGGGAGCAACAAATAGCGCGAAAACAGCGTTCTGAACAGTAATGAACAAAACTGAACAGGATAAAAAGAGACTGAACATGATTGAACAGGACCAAAAAGGACTCGAAACTCACCTTCATTGCCGCCATCCTTGCACAGACCCTTGACCAAAATAGGTGCCGAGTTGATCTTCAGCCGGTTGACATCCACAGGGGAAAGCAGCAACAGTTCCAGGATTTCCTGAACTAGTGGCCAGTTCATCGCCCTGATGGCGTCATTTAACCATGTGTAGACCAATGACCAACCGCCTACGGCCATGAAGTCGCCCAACAATTCCGTCTTCGTTGACTTCAGTATTTGTACGTAAACACATTTCGAAACCAGTTTTTTGGAATATTTGGCCATCAGACTGCGGGGGAAAAACAGGATATTAATATTAACCACCAGGGGGCGCTGCGGTGAGGTGAACTTACCCCGAAATGCGTTTCACCTCCAAAGCACTTAAAATTCCACCATTGTTGTCCAAAAGCACCCGTAGGCACCTCAACAGTTGCAATGGCACTATTCGAGGCTATTAAATTATCAAAATTAACAAAACACTTGGATTAGATTAGATTATTCGTCGGTGCATTCATTTAAAAACTCACCATTTTCCTTTGTTTGTCGCGAGAGAAACGAGGTCTGGCAACGCTGTATGCCCTATTGCCGTCTCTCTCCAACAAGTGCAGGTATGACCATACGCGTACGTGTGTATTGTTACGTGCGTGCGTGTAGCGACGCTCGTTTGTTGGTGTGCGTGACTAATAGATACAAAATTTCCGCTGATTACGTAATTCCATCAAAATTGGCCTTCGAAAGCCTTCCAAATTTATCTAAAATAGCAGAAAACGCAAGTCTGAGAACCGATTTATAAGGAAAACTGCTGAAGCCCTACAGTTCACTTTCGAAACGAAGGGAAAACAAATTCCAGCTGCAGACGCCAGAAAATGAGACGTTTTTTGTTTTATTGTAATAGTAATACAATGTTCCTTTTGCAGACCCTAAAAACGTGCTCCTCGCGTTGCAAATTTTTTCTTTGCACTGAGCAACTGCGGACGTGTGCCCCGCGGTTATCGATAATCGATACGCCAGTGCAACCCTGCGTACTGTCCACTCTTCAAAAATTAAAACTTTTGCGTATTATTAAAAAAAACATGCGATTGTTTGAACCTTTATAGCACGAATGTCTTTCAGCTTTTCCTTTTGTATTGCCCAAAATTGACATTTGAGAAAATAGAAAGTGAGGGCTACTTAGTTTCGCTTTTTTCAAGCAAGTTGGCAGTGCACTGCCACGCACACAAAAAAGACGCCATTTTGGTTTTCACAATTTTTCACAATGCGTAATTAAATCCGCAACCAAATGAAATGCTAGAAAATTTGCGTTTTTATAGCAATTATAGTATTTACAATATCGGCCACTTTGTAATGTTTATCATTGTATAATGCAAATGATTGGCATTTATGCTAATTTTGATCACGTCAACGCCCCAAAATTGGTCAGACTTTCTGGCGACGTCGTCCGCAGACACTTTGGTCGAGTACAAATTTAATAAGCCTACCAGAAAATATGTGTACAATATTTTATAGGCCTTACAATTTTTTTATATTTTATTTGCGACGAGTTTTCTTTCTCCGAAAATTCCAGCGTGCTCTTGGCTTAGTTTTACAAAATCGTGTAACCGTCGAGTGACCGTTCAAAAATGACACAAAAAATGTCCGTTGCCTTGTTCCAAAAAATCCAAAAAAAAAGAAAAACTATTTAGTATTATTTCCAAATTTTAAAAGTTTTAAGAAAACCTTTTGAAAGCATTAATTTACCATTTATTTATAGCAATTTATATATAAATTTAATATAATTAATAAATAAATCATTTTAAAAATACTGATACTGGCAAATCTGATTAAGTCATACAACTTTATCTGTTGATCTGGCAGCACTGTCAAAACAAGCGTGCAAGAAACTAGACTTGTGTAGGAATATCTATTAAAAAATCCGGAAAAATGAGCGACAGCGAAGCGGAGGAGACCAAAATCAGCACGGAACCGGTGGATAATGCGTGGGCCATGAAGATTCCGACCTTTAAGCAGGAGGACAATCCGCATGGGATGGTGGAGGAGAGTTCCTTTGCCACGCTGTTTCCAAAATATCGGGAGCGCTATCTCAAAGAAGTGTGGCCCCTGGTGGAACAGTGCTTGGAGGAGCACCATCTAAAGGCGGAATTGGATCTAATGGAAGGCAGTATGGTGGTGAAGACCAGCAGGAAGACTTGGGACCCCTATATCATCATCAAGGCGCGGGACATGATCAAACTGATGGCCAGAAGTGTTCCGTTTGAACAGGCAAAGCGGGTTTTGCAGGATGACATCGGCTGCGATATCATAAAGATTGGCAATCTGGTCCATAAGAAGGAGAAATTTGTGAAGCGTCGCCAGCGTTTGATAGGACCCAATGGAGCCACTCTAAAATCCATCGAACTCCTCACCGATTGTTATGTTTTGGTTCAAGGAAACACTGTCTCTGCTTTGGGTCCTTACAAAGGCCTCCAGCAGGTTAGGGATATTGTCCTGGAGACCATGAACAATGTGCATCCTATATACAACATCAAGGCGTTGATGATCAAGCGGGAACTTATGAAGGACCCCCGTTTGGCCAACGAGGATTGGTCAAGGTTCCTGCCCAAATTCAAGAACAAGAACATCAGCAAACGCAAGCAGCCAAAGGTGAAGAAGCAAAAGAAGGAGTACACCCCATTCCCGCCCAGCCAGCCAGAAAGCAAGATAGACAAGCAGTTGGCCAGCGGAGAGTACTTCCTCAACCAGGAGCAAAAGCAGGCCAAACGAAACCAGGAGCGCAGCGAGAAGCAAAAGGAGGCGTCCAAGCGGCAGGACGAGCGCCGAAACAAGGACTTTGTGCCGCCCACGGAGGAGCCTGCATCCTCCAGTCGGAAGAAGGTCGAAGAATCTTCCTCCAGCAAGGTGGACGTAAAAGCCCTCAAGGCCAAGCTGATCAAGGCCAACAAAAAGGCGAGGAGCTGATCTGGGTGCACTTTTATTTGATAGTTTTTTAATTAGTCATAGGTTTACTTAATAAAAACGATTGTGAGCTGAGGAATAGCAATTGAAAACAAGATGACTTTTATATAGCGTTTCACTATATACTTTTCGACTTTATCTTTTGCCATATTCAAAACACAAATTCAAATAAATAAATTCAAATTTACAGAACATGCGTATTTATTTGAATTTCTAAAAAAAACCCAACAACATACGGATCGACATTTGGTTTTTCTTTTCAATATTTCTTTTTTTAAGCTGTACATATCCAAACTTTATGGTTATCGGTCATTTTGTTTCAATATTTTGTTAATTGGAATGAGTTTTTGTCAATTTTTTTTTCTATTTCATTTGTAATTTTAAATTAACTTTAAACATATAAGTCTAACCTGTGTTAATTTTCTTGGTGGGCTGGCAATATTTGCTGCTATAGTTTTTTTAATTTAAGTTAAGCTTCATAAATTGGCTAACGACTTAAGTACGAGTATTTCATAAAATGTCAATGGATATACATATGTATATATCTATTTTTCCTCTACTGTAAAGAGAGATCTCTCTCTCTTTATAAATTTACCTGTCGCTCATTTTCGCTCCCGCTCCCACGCTCTCTCAACAAGTGGCTTAGCCCCTTTGGCCAAATGAGAGAGCCTACGAATGAGCCAAGTTAGTACGATTTTTGGTACCGACTGACATGTATTAAAAGCGCTTAGGAAGCGGACGAACGCTCGCGTGCGTTTGACAAAAACAACAAATACGGTGACTGAAAAGCCCCAACAAAAAAAACTACGTTGCGGGGTTATTGTTATTTGTACGTTTATTTTCCACAAGAGACAAAAAAAAGAAAAAACGGTTTGTGAGAATCGAAAAGAACGGAGCGAAAGAAAGCCGACTTAAAAATAAAAATCGAAGAGGAGTGAGAAGGCATAACACCAAAGGCGGCGGCCAGAAAAGGACAGAACGAAAGGTGAAGACAGGTAAAAAAGAAGGAGGATGAAGAAGAGAGGATTAAGTGCTGGACTACAGTTACTTTTAATGTTTGAATTAAAATTAAAACAATGCTCCAGTGATCGCAGTTAAAAACTAAAGCCCAAAATAAAACGAAAACCAGTTAAAATCCCAGGTGAACGTAACAGAGATTCGGATTCGTGCTAATTAGAAAAAGAATGTGCCAAGTGAGAGATGATATCGAAATGTTAACGAGATATCGATACCTGTAGTGTGAGTGAGTATGTGTGAAGGGAATGTACATATTCGAATTTATCACACATATCACCGGAAAATGCGGTCAATTAGAATAATGTAAATAGCAAAATTGAGCCTGTATGTGTGAATTAGTGAATGAATTGAACAAAAGCATTGAAAATCAATACGAAACCTGCCGCCGCTCCCACTTTTTTACATACAGTGCTACCTCTAAGTAGTGAACATTCGATTATGTGAGATATTTTGAACCGCTTAAACATGTGTCTTATAAAAATCATACAAATGATTTTTAATTATTTATAATTTTCGGGTTTGGTAAACTTGCAAATTATTTTAAAACTTTTGCAATCGGTCAATAAGGGTCCAAAAAAAGGATACTTTAGAAAAATACATAATTCTGAATAGATGTGTTGTATCTTTAAAACCTAAAAGCTAGTACACAACTTTTTCAATAGTGTACTTAAGATAATATTTTTTACAACAAGTGTTCAGTTAGAACAATATTGATGAATGATTATAATTGAATTTATCACTCGAACACTGGGAGAAAATTTGATATTATGTATGTATAACTTTATTATTTAAAGTGACCACTGTATATCCACGCACGCACATTACTGTCAAACCTCACCTGTGTGAGTGCGGCTTGGAGGTAGCTGTGTGTGTGCGCGTGAGAGAGACTCGTGAAATATCAACAGCGCAAAGTGAGAGAGGAAAACAGGTGGAAAAGAAAGCTTAAAAAATGCGGTCGGTCAAAAACTTAAGTTGCAGCTCCAAGCGAGAGGTGTGGTGGGTGGCGGGGGTATGAAAAGAGACACTGAGACAAATACCTTTTCAAGCCGCACACACAGATACTCAGACGTCAGTCTACCTGCCACGCATGCGCGAGAGGGGGACGGCAATAGTGCAGATCAGGGTGTCGATGTCTCGCCTTCCCCACCTTACGAGACCCCTCTAGCTGGTTTCCACCCAAGGAACAGCAAAAACTACTATTGTTATTTGTTGTTTTGCCAGTTGCTTCGTAAACCAAAAAGTATGCGAGATAATAAAAAGTGAACCGCAGCCTTTTTATCTAAATCCGTGCTGTCTGAATTATTTGAGACATTAATTCCCATCTCATGTTTATCAGGCCCCAATTAATTATCTTCACCTGAATGAAGTGAGGAAGTATGTAGTACTTTCGATATTTATGCTGAGATACGTTCTCATTTAACGCTTACCTATTTAACATTTTAAAGTTAAATTTACCTTACCTACAATTAAAACCATTTTAGTATCTTTAATAATATATAATACGTTATTATTTTTATTTACTCTAGAAATATTATGGATTTGAGATTTAGGTTCATTGGTATTTTTAACATTTAATATTGAAACATTTAACAAAATTAAATTTTCAAAAGTTCGGAAAGGGGTAACATTGTAAAAATGGCGAAAAATTTTAGGGGATTAATCCACAATCATTTAGAAGTATGCCTTTTTGAAATCGGATGTCTGTACGAAAAGTTAGAAGTGCAGCTTTTAGGTCACTTTTCAGCAAGGCCAATTTTCGAGAATTTGGAAAGGGGTTACATTGTAAAAATGACCAAAAATCGACCCAAAATAACAAACCAAGATTAGTTTACAGATTTTTAGGGGATTAAACCACAATCATTTTAAGGTATGCCATTTTGAAATCGGATGTGTGTATCAAAAGTTATGGGCTTAGAAGTGCAGGTTTTTGGTTACTTTTCTGCAAGTCCATTTTTAGAAAATTTGGAAAGGGGTTACATAGTAAAAGTGACCAAAAATCGACCCAAAATTTCAAAATAAGATGAGTATACAGATTTTTTGGGGACTTCATCACAATCATTTTAAAGTATGCCATTTTCAAATCGGATGTCTGCAACAAAAGTTATGGTCACTTTTCTGCAAGGCCATTTTTAGAAAATTTGGAAAGGGGTTACATTGTAAAAATGACGAAAAATCGACCCAAAATTACTTACCAAGATGAGTATACAGATTTTTAGAGGATTAAACCATACTCATTTTAAAGTATGCCATTTCGAAATCGGATGTCAGCAAGAAAAGTTATGGGCTTAGAAGTTCAGGTTTTAAGTCACATTTCTGCAAAGGGGTATATTCTCTAAAGATGTAGTATTTGTATTATTCTTGATAACAGGAAGTTATGAAAACTGTTTACTAAATCCAAGCACCAAAACTTTATTTAAGCGAAAGCCTGTATTGTGCGATAATGTTTATCGCGTTCATTACTGCCTCCTAAGCTGGTGTAAAATAAAAAGCGAAAACACAAATCTGACAAATTCCACAAGTATGATGCAATTTTGGGTTGAACAAAAAATAAAACACCAAGATAATATAACACAGCTTCGCAACATAACAAAAGCAAAACATTTCCAGGGGTGTAGTGGGTCAATGTTTTCTTTTTTATTTGCATTTCATGTTGTTTGTTTAATGCGATTTCCTTTTGGGCAATACCGTTTGCAAGATAATGCACCCTAGCTGACCCCCTCTACAGTTTTCTCTTTCACCTGTTGCAAGTACACTTTCCCCTCCACTTGACCCTGCGCCCATGGTGGGTAACTACACAGAAAGAAAAATGTATCAATTTGTTGTTTCTAATATTCATTTTTAAGAATATCAAAGCTATGGATATATTCAAATTAATAAGATACATAACAGCTTAGTATTTTTCATTTTATTTTCAAAAATTTCTACTATGTATACCCTTTTTGCATTTTATTATTTTAACTGGTTTTGGTCGAATAGACCTGTGCATTTCTTAAGTGTAGATTGGAATTTCTCTGCCACCGTCGACTGCGCAGCTGACGTCAAGTCGGCGCCTGAGCCCAGACTAAAACAGCGGAAAAGTTGTTGCTGTCACTTGAGTCGAGGGAGCGGCTAGCTATAGTGTCTGCTTGTTAGTGAGATAGAAAGAGCCAGGGAGAGTGTGTTTGCAAATCTCAGTTTCAGATGTGTGTGTTTTTGCAGGTGTGTTCATTTTCTGCACAGAAAAATATTAAGATCCGTTAAAGCCCGCTTTTGAAAAAATACATTTTGTAATAAGAAAAACATTTTAAGCCTGGTGTAAAGAGGATTAAATATCAATTTAATCCTGTCGATCCGATCACCTAAAATTTTAAAACTTAATATTGTTTAAACCTGTGTTATTTATATGTCGTAATAATATTTTTTATTTATTTTGTATATAAAATAATGTCACATAATATTTTTTATTTATTTTGTATATAAAATAACGTCACAAATATAATTGTATACATTTTTTTATCTTTTCTTTGCCAATATGAAAGCTTTAAAGTGCTTAGATTATTTGAAATGATAAACAGACCTTATTTGAACTAATTCAATAACAATTGTTTAGTTCTGTTGGTTTTTGTTTGCTGTCTAAATGTTAAATGTCACCTTAACTTTGATTCTTCGAAGGCGTTGAGAACTATCTTAATATTTTTTGCAGTGTAAACAAAGTAGAGACAATCAGTTAAGAGGAGAGCCAGGGGAAGTCGCGCGATTTTTGAATTCCAATGCTGATTCGAGCCAACAACGAAATGCTAAAGTTTGAGAATAATTGCGGCCATGTGCGGACCATTTTGGAGTGTATGTGTAAACGTTAGTGGCTGTGTGGAATGCGGTCTGAGTCAGAGTCGATTGGCTGCGCAATATCTAAGGGGTTTAGAGTATTAAGGGGACTTAAAGTGGCTTAAGGAGGGATCTTGAAATGCAGAGGGGTAACTAAATCTCAGCTGCTCGGGAAAAATTCAAAAAAATTATATTTTTCACATTTTGGAAGATCAATTTGTATATCCAAAACTCATGAGTTTGCTGTACTAAAGCTTTGTCATCGGAAACTTTAAGATCTTGGGAAACCATATTGGGAACGATGACCCTTGAAAGTCATGTGTCAATGTGAAACTCATATTTGGCAGACTCCCATGTGCATACAGAAAATTTGCAATCTTATGAAAACCTAACCCGGGCTGCTTTGAATTCTTTAATATAGATATAATTCAAGTTAAACATGTTTTTTTAAATCAGCTTAAAATAATGACTTACCAGTTGTTTTTCAATAACTCAAAGCATTTTATATCAAATTTAAATACTAATATTAATATTTATGTTTGGTGCTGATAAATCGTTTCCGATGAAGTAGAAAAATTAATTTAAATAGAAGCTACGTTATTTGACAAAGAAAGAAACATTTACGTGATGTTCAACCGACTTTCTAAACGGTAATAACTTCTAATTTTAGAATTAATAGTTTCTTTACTTAACCGTTCAAATTTATTTTTAAAATTTTGACTGTTGCTGACATTTAATAACCTTAAGCATAATTTTGTTCATTTGCAGACTGAGTTTCAGGCGTGGAACCAAGCCTGTAACGGGATTGGAAGGCACTATGGTGAACCATCATTCAAATGGAGGAGGCAGTGCCGGAAATAGCAGTGGAAGCTTGAGAGGAGGCGGTGCCCATGGAGGAGGTGGCGGAGGAGGTGGAGACTACTCGGGAGATGATCGCAGTGGCGGTGGCGAAGAGCGGGAGCGGCTGGAAAGCGATCTTCATGATAAACCCACCTACCTGCTGGAGCACCTGGCCACCTTCACGGTGAACAAAGAGTCGGGCATTGTGTATCCGGCGGACGGAATGCGTCGTCTCCTTCAGCTGGAGAAGACCACTGGCATTTGGTCTCAGAAGATGCAGCTCTGCCTGGACTATCAGTGGGTGCTTATCATGGACTACGAAACGGGGGTAAGTCGGATATCTTTTACTGTCTGTGTGAATCCTTAATAAATCTCAACCTTCCATTTCAGAACATCATCGAAAGATTTCCAGCTTCCTTGGTCCAGGAACCCACCGCCTTCACCTCCAACGATGCCATGGAGCTGTACAACAATATTCTGGTCTTTATCGTGTCCGGAGGCGGTGGCTCCCGATCCGAGATGCACATTTTCCAGGTAAGCATGGTAATCGGGTTTTAAGATTGTATGATGGTTTTTAAGAAACAACCTTTAAAAATATTCAAAAGCTTGTTTTGAAGTTCCAAAAGTTCATTATATTTTATTTGACTGCGTCATCACGTAAATTACTGTAGCTTATTTACTGAACATTTAATCTTAATTAAACATTGATGTTGTTTTAATTCCGCTCGGAAAACTTGACATAAGATTGTCACTGGTTGGTAGCGACATATTTAATACAGTCAAATTTAAATAAAGGTGACTGGCATTTAATCTCCCCGAAGATGATTAATGGAGTAAAAATTTGTCCAGGCATTATGTACTATAAGTTTTACACACCGAAGTTATTACAAAAGTTTTGATATCATCCTGTTCAATTATAGCTTTTAAAATCCTATATGATTTGACAAGTATAACCCTTCTGATCCTTTCATTTTTCTTGCAGTCACAAAGCGTGTCCGCCGTTCACCTGGTGGAGGACCTGAAGCAGCTGAGAAGTGGCAAGATGATCACGCAGCAGCGCGGCGCCACTCCCACGCAATCGGGAGGCGGCGGAGGCGGGGCGTCCAGCATGGCCATGATGATGAGCAAGACCTCCTCGTCCTCCTCGCACAGTCGAGTGGAGATGCACCAGCACAGGGAACAGCGGACGGAGCGCGAGAGGGAACGGGAAAGGGAGCGGGATCGAGATCGCGAGCGAGAGAGCCACCATCACATGCACCAAAGGAGCAGCGTCGAGCAGTACGGAATGAGGGCCGGCGTGGGAGTTTCTGGCGAGGATGTGGCCCACATCAGTGGCGAGACGGACTCGGAACATGGCGGGATCGGAGGTGGAGGAGCCGCGGAACGCGATGAGACCAGCTCCACATCCAGCGAGAAGTACGAGCGGGACGTGGCCGTACTGAATCACTGCTTCGACGACATTGAGAAGTTCATAGCGCGACTTCAACATGCGGCTGCCGCTTCCCGGGAACTTGAACGGCGTCGTCGTAACCGCAAGTCCAAGAAAAGGGATCCGGGAGAGGGATTGCTTACGTTGAGAACCAGACCGCCCCACGAGAAGGAGTTTGTGGACATATTCGCCAAATTTAAACTGTCTTTTAACCTTCTGGCCAAGCTGAAGGCGCACATCCACGATCCCAATGCTCCCGAGCTGGTGCACTTCCTGTTCACGCCGCTGGCTCTGATTGTGGAGGCCTCCAGCGACACGTACTACGAGTCACAGCTGCCGGCGCGCGTGGTGAATCCCCTGCTCACAAGAGAGGCCATCAACCTGCTCATAAACTGTGTGACCAGCAAGGAGACGGAGCTGTGGCGCTCCTTGGGCGATGCCTGGGTTATCCCGCGGGATCAGTGGAAGGATGATGTGGGATCCTACCACCCAGTCTTCCTCGACGGCTGGTCACCGGATTACCTGATCAACGATGAGCTGGAACCGCCACCAAATTCCCCGCCCGCTCACGTAAGCAAGCGCAGGCTCGAGGTCCAAACGGGATCGGCACTAAATGGTCGTGGAGGAGTCGGGTACGATGAATACGACTCGGGGAATGGTATGAACATGGCCATGGGCATCGAAAAGTATACCATCCATCACGGCAATGACGGATTGAGGGAGCGGGAAAGGGAACGCGATAGAGATCGGGCGGGAGCCATCAGCGCCTCCGACTTCAACACCCGCAGCGAGCTCTCCTTCGACTCGATTGAGGGCAGGGGCGGAGCAGCGGGGCATGGTCATGGTCATGGACCAGGCGGACCCGGACCCACCCTCAGCGCCATCACAGCTGGACTGCAGAATCTGCACACGAGGGAATCTCGTTCCGGGGGCAACGGATACGGTGGAGCTGGTCCAGGACCCTCATCTGAGTTGAGTGGCGGAGGAAGGGGTGGTGCACCGAACGTTAGCGACGATCAGATGCTGGAGTCCTGGCTGGAGGATCTTCAGGGCGCGGGTGCCAAGATTGTGCTGGTCACCTACCCACGCACCGCCAACAACGACAAGGAGCTCAGCGTGATGCGGGGCGAATATTTGGAGGTCGGTTTTGCTATCACATTGATCTATTTAATTAAGTTCTAACCCTGATGCTTTCCTCTAAATCTTAGATACTTGACGACACCCGAAAGTGGTGGAAGGCGCGCAACATGCGGGGACAGGTGGCCCACGTGCCCCACACGATCGTCACGCCCTTTAATTTCGGCGATGGAGATGGAGCCCAGTTCTACGGGCAACAACAGCAGCCGCAGGCGGGTCCTCCGGGCTCGGGAAACAAATTGCGACCAGGGGTGTGTACTTCCTCCAATTATATTTATTGATCGACGTACTAATTGTTTTCTTACCACCAGGATAACCCCGGCATGGAGCAGCGATCGCCGGACCCCACCGACATGATGCGTAGCAAGCATCTGGGCAAGAAGGGCGAGTTCCGCTACTTCTAGGATCGGTATACGATTACCACATACATATACACATATAATCCGTAGTGAGAATATAGCATTAGAGAGAGACAGACATCAGCGGTCCCGTCTAGGAAGCTAGTCTTGATCCCCAACCGATTGGATTAGCTCCGATACTTTGCACTGGCTCGCCGGAGTGTGCAAACTATAATTAACCTTAAGACTAACCTAAGTGGAGCTTTAAGTGGGAGCTGTTGACCAGCAGGTTGCTCCTGCTGATGCGGATGCTGATCGAGATGAAGAAAAGGGAGGCGACGGCAATAATTTGTTTTAATAAAATTATATCCAAAGGATCCCTCAGAATGTTGCAATCAATGATAAGAGAGAACAGGGGTAAAACAATAAAAGGATTTCTAATCGGTTCATAAACATTGGTAAGGAATTCGAGTGCTGACCATAATTTCTAACCGATAAATGTAGAAAATAAACGGCTTAAGGGAATGGATTCCTTTTGGCATAACGAAACCGCAACCGAAGCATCCTAACATTATCTGATTATGTTCTGTCCTACGAAGCTAAAATTCAAGAAAATCAAGTTACTTGCGATATAGAATGGTGAAGATAAATAGAAGAGAAGAAATCCAACCGTAAGAAATATGAATAAATTTTAGATCATGAAGGGTTTATATTTCATTTCCATTACTAAAAGCTAAGATAACAAATCACGATAAAATGGGGAGCTGCTTTGCTTTATTTGGATGCTCAGAAGAATAATTTAACTGGTGCTTGTAGTGTGATCAAAGACAACGATTGAACAAAGAGCATTCTACGAAAACTCGAACCAATCTTGTAAGATTCTAGAAAATCCTTCCGCTTAGATGATGGATAGTTTCTCCACGCGGGCCAGGAGCGGCGAATCGGAGTGGTATTCCATGCTCCTCACGGCAAAATCGCCCACGTCGTTGGTAAAACACTTCAGCGTGGAAATGGAGAAAGGACGTCCGGGAAAGTTATAGTAGGTAAAGTACTGCCCATTGACGGCGATCAGGAAGGCACGATCCCCGAGCCCAAAGGCGATCTTGAAGAGCTTTCCTCGCACAAATGGGAATTCGCCCTCGGTCTCCTCGTCACTAATGGCGAAGCTGAAATAAATAAAAGGGAACTCCGTCAAATAAGGCTAGAAGCAATATAATTTTTTTTTTTTTTTTTTTGAGAATGCTAGTTGAAAATGGTGCAACGGTCCAAAAATGGGATTGTTTCTAGAAATAGGTGAATGACTTTCTATATAAAAAAATATTTTTAAATTTCTATACAAATTTGACAGAGGTATAATTGTGATATTTCTCGAGCTTCACTGTACCTGTTGTCTTCCCGCTGGTAACATCGTGACACGGTTGTCCGATCAAAGTTCACGTGGAAACGGAGTACCATCCTTCCGGTGTCGTTGCACTGGAAGCAGATGGAGAACTCCGTGGTCGGGGGTCCTTTGGCGATGCACTCCATGGCCACCACGGTCCCGGTTTCATATCGTCTGGGCACGTCACTCTGGAAGGCCACCTTTTCCGGGCACATGAGAGTTCTCGGGAAGACAAGCGGAAAGAGCATTCGGTGATGGAACTGGGTGATCTTTTCAAAGTCCCCGTAAGCACGCACGTAGTTGATTTGCTTTGGGAAATTGACGAACTCAAATGATCCGTACAACTGATCGTTTACGTAGATCTCGAAGCATCGTTGGAGTACCGCCACTCGGAAAGTAAAGCTCTGACCCGGCTGCAGTGGATTCTTCGGACCGTCACACTTCCAATTCTTTGAAATCTCCTCCTGCTGCCATCCCTCGCCCGGCTGGAACATGCTCCGGATGATCTGGCCCTCGCGGAAGTTGGCCTCAATCTTCAAGAAGACCGTTTGGCTCTCGTTTTGCTCGTTCACATTGTCCGTTAGATCCAGCGATATTCTGTCCGTGATTTGAAAGGGGATTAGTATGGAATTAGTTGAGGTTAAAATTGTCAACTTTATAGTACTTTTAGGTTTTAATGATTTGTTAGGGCTTCGAAAACTTTTAATTTAAATGATTTAGTAATGTAATTGTTCAAAAAGTATATATAAAAGAACAGTTTCGTGACCAGGGTTTCAAATTTATTTTTAAACATAAAATTTATAAAAAACGTATGCTTTACTCATAAAAACTTTAATTTTTTTGTAGGAAAAATGTATCCAAAATTGAAAACAATAATTTTTTATATGCGGTTAATAGCTAAAACTCATGCAAATGCTGCAATTTATTGGTGTAACAATTAACACTTTTATTGGCATCGGAATTTTATTAGTTTATCTTTGGTACTTATATTTGCATTACAATTGGTTTGTCAATATTGGCCTATGTAGATCTATTTGCATGGAAACTTTATTGGTTTATAAATACCCACTTATATTTGCATAGTAAGTAAAATGTATATAAAATTAGGTTGTTAAATGTTCAAGTATTTATCAAAATTTTTCGACGTGTTCGTGTTTATATTCTTTTTTTGACAAAAAGTTCCCATATTGAACCATATAGCTTGAATGGAAATTTAACGAAATAACTGTGTATGCAGATCGGTTGGGCATTTAATCGTCTCTAACTTAATAACCGAGTATCGAGTACAACAAATAAAATGCATTTCCTACTTATTAGGATGAGGCTTGACGCGTCCACTGACTATGAGGACATGGCCGAATGGCACCTCCGTTAGGACCTTTGCCTTCCACACGTTCATCGCGGCTCGCGGTTCCACTGCAACTGACTCGAGGAAAGTATCCGTATTGGAATCCAGCCGGATCCGGCTACGGCGCCGTTTTATGCGCCCTTATGCTAATAGATTCGCCATCCGTCGCCTTTCCTCGTTCATTTGTTGTGATTATGTAAAGCGGGTGAAATGAGGAATTACCTGCAGCCGCATGCAAACTTGACATGGACGTGGACGTGGTAAGGTTACCCCCATTCCCATTCCCCCATCTAAAACTCAACCCGTTCAATCGAATCCCATATAAATCCCCAGTCAACCCCCGAATATCCGACCCAGCGAGCTGCGCTCCATGACGAGAACCTTGCGCGTTTATTTATTTGATTCAATCCTTGCCTTTGTAACCCATAACTGTCATCCTCGAGTTCTTTTCACGGTTGCTGTCACGCCCCCAACTGCCGACTGCCCATTTGTTGCTAGTTACTTGAGGCACTGAAGAAAAAAATACTCCAGAAAGGAAGAGCAGGATAAAATGCCTTTTTTTTATCCGAAAATATTATATTAAAACAATAGGTTAACCATGATTTTTTAACAAACCCTCTATTTCTGCAGATAAAATATTTATGATTGTAACTCAATCCAATATCTACCATAAAACCAATTTAGGATCATTAAATTTATTACACATATAAATACGGAAACTATTGATTCCAAACTATATTGGAGTGCTATAAAAATCGTTAACTTGGAAAGTTGAATGAAATTTTACTTAAACGGTTTTTAAGTTGTAAGAGTTTAAGTTGGCTTGCTAAATTGTATGGTATCGAAAGTAAAGGAATACAAATCTTACCAAATTCTAATAATCCGTTGAATCCAAGCATTACATAGATGGCGTCTCTTCTCGCCGTGTTCTCCATCTTAACCTCTCCCTTTGACGGTTACATTGTTGTTGCGTGTCTTGGGCGAAATAAAACAAGGCAACAACAATTGATTCCCTGTCTAAAGTTTTTGCATTTGCAGTAAAGTGCGACTTGGGGGCTGGCCCTCGGCCTGGAGCACTTTTCCAGCCCCCCCGCCATCCCTCCTCCCCCGCGACTCCAGTCTGGGTAATTCATTTCTTTTGACGTACCTTGGCATATTCGCTGAAGTTCTGTCTCCGTCTCTGTCTGCGTCTACACCTTTCGCTTTCGTCCACGTCCAAACCAATGACATTTCCTCAGGGTTCCACTCATCCTAGTACAGTGAAAGGTCCTCTGGGTGGTCAGCTTTATCTAATAAGAAATATAGATGGTAATAAGATCATATTGCAGACGAACTTTCATACCTCTAGGTTGTAGATTGGAGATTTTGATTTACTTTCTACTGGGTTTTACCTCAAAATCAAGCGCTGGAATCTACAAATATTTGCCATTTAAAATGCCAATTTAATGTTTTCCACAAACATTGACATATTTTTAATGGAAACCCTCAGAAAACTAACACATTCTGCGATACCAACTGACGTCATGATTTGTAAAGATAACAGCCCGGAATATATGAATACATGAATACTAATATGTTTTGTGTTAGAGCAAACTTAGATTTTTTGTCCAGTTGTCCAGTTTTTACTGTACTCCCCCGCCGAATACGTGGCCTCTGTTTGTCTATGTTTCCTTCGCTGTTTCTGTCGCTTGCACCTGATCGAATTGGGTCCAAGTCTTCAGACTAACTCAACTTGGCTCGGCTCACTTATTTCTGATTGCGTTTCACCTTGCTGCACCCACCCCCTGAACCACCCCCTGAACCACCCACCAGAAGCAACCACCCAATGATGTGCCTGGCTTTGCCTGCTACGAATGGCAAATCGCTAATTGGTTAGTTATGGCCACTGACAATCCAATCCATCAATCGGCTCCGACAGCCGAATACAAACATCCTGGGTGACCTTGTCAACTCCTTTCTGACCTCTGATCCCTCGTCCCCCGGCACGCGCCCACTTGTTTAGTCTTTTTCAAAGAGAACTAATGAAGTAATCGTGTCGATTTCAACTTTAATTTCCTCTTGTCACTCCAACTGATAACCCGAAAGCAAGTGGAGCAATGCGAGCAAGGTTTGTATACGTTGCACAATTATCAGTTTCGGTTACCTTTTTACCCTGTAGAGATGCCACGTTGTCCCCCAGAACCCTTTTCACCCTACACAGAAAGAAAAACTAGATTGATACCCATTTTATGTATGCGAGGTCAAATAAATATAGTTCATATTGTTTTGTTGTTGCAATTTACACTTGTATCTCATCTTGCTTTTTTTCTTACATTGGAAACTATCGGAAATGGGAAATTAAAAAGGTCCAGGTTCGAGACCCACTGCCCTTTTTTTTCTTCTTATGCCGATACATAGTAGTTATATATATTTTTTATATTCGCTAGAAAATTTGAACATGTCAAACGAAATGATGATACAAATAATCATTACTTTTACCGCCTTATATCGATTTTTCTTTCTGTGTACCTCTCCAGGGTTCTTATCTCGTTCCCAAGTCTTTTCCCCCAGTCGTATCGAATCGGTTCGGGGCGAGCGACGACACGTCTACAGAAATCAGATTTTACGGTCGCGGGACTGCCGACGGATCCGCAAATCGGACAAGCAATATAGGTGATAATGGCTTTATGGCCCCCGAGAGTCCATGCCAGCGCACCAACTGGAGTCTAATGCCCGAACCCGAAGCCAAAAACCGAGCCCGATTTCCAAACGGAAGCCGAATATGGCGGCGATCGGTAATCGACCGGCTTCACCTCTTTGGGTGGCGTCTGCTTTTTTGGGGGTAAGGGGTTAGAGCGAATCACGTCGCTCTTTAGTATCAGTACCAGTTTAATTATCAACCTCGATTAATGAAAAAGCCATTTGTGAATGATAGGGATTCGGGGAACCGATATGCAGGTGTTCAGACCCAGATTTATATTATACCCGATCCCCAGCTGATGACGTATTCATTTAAGATCGCCAAGTGTAGAACAAACCCGTTGCCAACTCATTAGTACACTTGAGATATCCATTGATAACCGCGTTAGTTCCAGGCCAAAAACACTTCCTTGAATAAGGGTGTTCTTCAGATACGCATTATATAGAACCGAACCGATCTCCACCACGTGGCGTTTAAATCAGACATGAAAATAACTTAAGCCAAACGAACAAACTTCTAGCAGTGCGAAAACAGTTTGCATTCCCTTGGCCCAAGTAATTCGCTGCCCGGGATACTGATAGTTCGTTGAAGGAGTTACACGTAGGCACTGAACGCCATTAAAGCCATATCTTTTTGGGCAAGTACGGATCGGTGGCGGCACTATATGCACTTGTCGCGTTTCGGAACGTAACTGAAACGTCGGATTTGACGGTGAAGTTTAAAACACCAGCTCCCGATGGCGGGGCCCACGAAGTATCGTCGATCGCTGGCGATATCTCACCTGCACAGGTGCGAATGCGAAGGAGCACGCGAACGAGAGCGAGAGAGAGAGGGAGAGGCCAAAAACAGAAACGGAAAACAAATAAATATGAAATATTGAACTGGAGCAGAAAGTGGGTGATATTTTGTAGATAGCACACACACCTGAGCATGCGTGCTGCCTTTGTATTGGCCATTAAACGCGGCTGTCAACGTAGCCACACGGGCTGAAAAGAAAATGAAATGGAAATGCCAGTGGAAATGTCGCCCCACAATTTGTCTCAATAGATTCTGTCGTGGCTGGCGTTATCAGTACAGCCAGTGCGCACAGGTGAGGGCTCCCTTTACCTGCGACCCGTTCAGGCGCATCCATAAAAGCACCTCACAGTTGCAGTCAGTACTATAGGGTTATTATTCTTTTAATAATTTTGCGGCCTTTATCATCAGCATTGCTGACTTACTCAGTTGTTTTAATCCATTTTTCATTCCAAATAGGATAACCTTTTCTGTTTGAAAAGGTATTGAATTCTTTGAAAGGATTTTTTAAATAAAGTTTTAGAGAATTCAAAATAAGGTAATGAAGTCTTTTTGCTGAAGGCATGAGGTTTGTTTCAAATCCATATACAAAACTACATTGTTAAGGTACTTCAAGATTGTACGGGTTCTATGTTTAAAAATAAATAAATTTGAAAAAAAAAAAAAAAAAAACTTAGGAAGGTGTTTAAAAGTATGCTGTGAAAAATAGAATATCGTATATATCTATCACACTAAAACTATCCATCACAGTACCAGATTGAAATAATTTATTAGTGATTTAAAATCCTGAGAGATTTCTGTTGACTAAGGAAACACCCCTATCGAAAACGTTTCTAGTCTTTTAGCTAAGACTTTAATTTTATTTCCTTTCGAGACCCACACTTTGGTGCTGTTATTTTGACCTCAACTGTACCCAAGTATGTGCCACTGAAAAATGACTTCAACTCTATTCGCTGGAGTGATCTGTTCCACAGTTTGACTGACTCTTTCGCTGCACCTCCCTTATCACCAACGACTTTATCGGAGGACAGGGAACATACCAAGAAAAGTCATACTTCACTTTGATGTTTGCACGAGACGGCGAGTCATTAATTGATTTATTACTAAAGTTGATTGCCACGGTTTCTTGGTTTGCCCTGGTCCAATTTGGCTATGTCCAAGTAGTTATATGGATAACTAATTAGGTAAATGTGTTTGCTCTGATGTTCCTGACTGACTGCGGCAGATATCTTCTCGCCTTGGCAGATATTTTCTTTGGGATGATAACGTCGAGGGTGAGAACATGCACTTAGATGATTGGGATGGCAACAAGGTGGTTCGGTTTCATGTTGTCATCCAATGTTTGCTCCATTTCGATCATTGTTTGAAGTGGGAACAGAAAGTGAGCATACACCCCATTTTTCCCCGGCATTCCCATTCTCAATTCAATTTCCAGCGAATGTGTACATTTGGTGGGTGTTTATTCAGCTTGACAATGTCTTGCTTGAACACAATACAACGAATACCTATATAAATGTACATATATGTCATATCAACGACACGAGTTCCATGGAAACAACTCAAAGATCGACTGTTTTTTGGGAATGCTGCTTCTTGGCCTCGATCACATTCTGCATGACCAGCTCGTACAGGTTGTCCTCCTCCTCCTCTTCTTGGTTGTCCTGATCCTCGGGTTTGTCCTTAGTCTCCTGCAGACTTTCCAGTTCTTTTCTGTAATTCTGCAAAGCCTTTTGAAGGAGTTTCTCCACGGGAGAATACGTAGAACGTGATCTTAGGCGGGCTTTTGCTATTTCTAAAGCCTGAAAAACCGATAGGATTTTAAGAATTCATATTATAAAAGGAAAACTTACCTTTAAGGTGTTGGTGTTTCTCAGTAGAGCCTCTTCGTAGGATAAAACTTTGGGAGCAGGTGTATAAATAGACCTCTCAGCAAGCTTTTCGTTCTGGCGTTCCAGTTTTAGTTCCTCAGCTTGTCTAAAAATAGCCCAATAACTTAGAGAAATTTACATTTTACTGTGGAATAACCCACACTTTCTCCAATTTCTGGTCAATCTCCGCCTCGAGGGCCAGGTATTTGTCATTAATCTCCTTGACCAGGTCCATTGTGCGTCCTTGCAAAAGGATTTGTAAATAAAAACGTAAACAAATGAGTTGCCATGCAACGGTTATTTAGTTGGCTGCCAGGGCTACCAGGTGGATGAAAAACGTTTGTGACAGTCGCAGTTACCTGAGTTCCGTATTGGGAACTGTTGAGTGTTGCCATAGCAATGAAAAATGGTACCGTTAACCCATGAGAAATTTTAAGTTTTCAGAATATTTTTAATTGCTAAGGAAAATGTGTTTAACTTGCTATTATTTGTTATAATTGAATAACTATATAACTATTTGTTATAATTGAAGTGGAAACATGAAATGTCAATTAAGTGGTACTTAAATAATCAACAAAATTTGATTTTCTTATTAAAAAGTTTGCACAAGTTTGATCGAATTTAAATCAAATATGCATAAACGAATGAAATTTGGATTGTATTAAAAAGTTGAACAAAACAAGCCCAACAGTTGACTGCAATAATGTTTTATCTGTATAGTCAGTAAAATGAGAAAGTAATTACATAGGAAAATGCGATTGTTTATCTATACATGATTTATTATATTTGCAAATAAAGTTGTGATGATAATTCGTTCTAGGAACTATAGTACATATACCAGTTATACTCATTCATGAAACTTTGAGGTGCAATAACACTTTTTTTTTATTTCAATCATTATAAAATTACCAACTTGTAACATCGGTTTCTTCCTTACAAGCATGAACCTTTGGTTACTATCTTTAAGGACAATCTATTACCTATATATTTTTACCAGACATCTTCACTTCTTATCTAGGTGACGCAAATATATCTTCTAGGTGTGACCTTTCCGGTATCGTATTGCTTACCTTCCGGCTTAGCTTTACTCATATTAATTTCTAGGCCCTGTAAGGCCTTTAAAACTAATCTATTTATCATATTCCAAAGTCCAGCAGATGTCTGTATCCCAACAGGAGATAAGAATAAACTCAGAAAGAAATATCATACTGTTCTATGGCTATAACAAATGTTTGTTCAATATTGTCAACTTGAATTGTAATGATGACTGGCTGAATAGTGAAATTAAGTGTTTGGCGGTGCAAATTAAGTTTTAATAATGACTTGCTCAAAAGAGAGCAATGGTCATTAAAAGATTTATTTGACGACATGGAGCCAGACGCTTTCTCGCCATTCAAAGTTCAAGTTGGCTAAGTTAGTAGCTATGACGAAAAGCCGGTTTTTTTGTTTGGTCATAAATTTGTGTTTATTAGTTACCATAATATTTAGATCCACGCAAATCGGGCACATGCCTTTGTTCACTGACACATCACAAGTGGGATGATATATACAAACTATCTACGTACATTATTCTCTATCTAGCCTCGTACTTAACTAATTTCCTAGTCAATCGCTTATGGTATCTCACGGGTCCTTCAAAAACTGATTGATATGCGGCGCCACACGTTCCGGGGTTACGAGGTGCAGGTGATGGGTGCCGGGCACCTCGACGTAGACCACTTTGGAGGCATTCTTCCGCAGCGTGGCTATCACATCCGCGTAGACCTGTGGAGTTTCGAACTTCATGCCGGGAGTTCCTCGAATGTTGAGCACCTTGCAGCGAATCTGGCGGGCATAGGCCAGTGTCTGCTCCGCGGTGAACATGCCCAGCAGGCTCACCTTCAGCCGGAGATCCCTGGCGAACAGATAGCCATCTTTGCTGGGATTGTGACGCATTCCCCGGTTCATCAGCACCCGGACCGAGCGCTCATCCACAGAACCATCATAGGCGTCCAGCACCAACTTGATCATCTCTTCGTACGAATAGCAGGGCTGCTTGCTCTCCGGGAGGGTTTCATAGTCCAGGAATTTGTCCAATGCCTTTCCGGTGCCCTCCGCCATTCGTTGAGTGCCCCGAACTGTGGGTCCAGCAATATCGATGTTGATCAGCTTCTTCACCTCCGTGGGGAAACTGGCCGCGTACATGAAGGTCAGAGCTCCGCCCAGCGAATGACCCAACAGGGTGACATCCTTCCAGTTGTACTTGCGCACTATCCGGCGAATCAGGCATATGCCATCCCAGAAGATGAAGTACTGCATGCCCTGCGGATAGTGCGATGACTTTCCGTGCCCGGGAAGATCGATGGCCAGAATGGAGGTGTCCGCCGGCATCAGGGGGCACAGCCTGTCGAAGCTGCCGCAGTTGTCCTGCCAGCCATGAAGGGCGATAATGGGCTGCCTCTCCTTGGAACCCCACCACTTTGCTAAAAGCCAAAAAATCGATAAGTATACAAAAATAATAAATTGTTATAGCATATTTGGTTTACAATTTTCCGTGCATATCTCATGGATACTACATTCGATTAAAAACACTCTTTGCCAATCAATAACATACAAAAATTCTATAGCAAGATTTCTGAGAATTTTCATATATACAGAATTTTTACTAAATAGTAATGTTGCGTGTATGAGCAAGGATACAAAATATATACAAATTTTTGAGCTTAGAAAGACTGCATCTACTGAGCTGTTTTTTTCGGTGTATCTGCGTCACATTAGAAATCACGTCAGATTGGCATGAATGAGCCGATGCTTGTGATAAGAAAACGGCGCCTAGATGACTCACCCTCAACTGTTCCCCAGGGAACGTCGATTGAGAACTCCTCCCAGCTGTTCTCGCCCAGAACTTGTGGCTGCTTCTCCTCCTGGTCATCTGAAAAGGGGAATGCTCATTAATTAAACAAAACCAAAACTGCAGCGAAACGGAAAGTCTGGTGAAATCGCCAGGTGAGACTTCGGACTCAGGTGCGAAATTCGTGCCAATTCGTGACCTGACCATGGCCTCCTCCTCCGGTTTACTCACTTGCTTCTGGGGGAACTACCGTCTCCGCAGATTTCGCTGTTGTGGTTGTTGCTACGCGTGTCTGGCCCATAACTAAACTGCGGTGCGGGAGTGGATTAAACAATTCCGTAGATCAGACCAGACTGCTTTGAGCGAATCTCGGAGAGCGAGTGTCCAAAATCACAAAAGTTTCCCCGATCCGTACACTGAAACTGATTACCGATAGGTATTAGCATGGCAGATCTGGCATTTCGGCGGGGAAAATGCTTAAAATCTTAATGAAAAGCTAAATCTTCTGTACTAACACTGGGAATCGGGGTCACCATCGAGGTCACCATGTTCAACAAATTATATCATGCAACTAACACTGTGACTAGAAGTATAAATAAATAATAAATTAACAAATAATAGGATTAATTTAGTTATGAAGTGATTTAAAAGTGAACGTGAGAACTATCTGAAGACTTTTGTGGCTATCGAAATAGCTAAACGCACATCTCACATTCAACCAGGTGGCAACTCTGTCATATGCATATTGTTTTGATTCGCGTTTGTAAATACACAAATTTAATAGTGTTTCTTGTTAACTGGAGATCTAGCTCACAAATCAACATGTAAGTCAAACAAATCATTTCATTATTTTGTCCAGCATAAATCTTATATTCAATCTTCACAGGACGGAGTTCTGGAAATCGAACGAGCGCAAGTTCTGCGACTTTTGCAAATGCTGGCTGAGCGACAACAAGGCGGTGAGTAAATAAAACTATGAATTTAAGGCTCTTAATGACCGCTAATCCCGTAGAGCGTCGCCTTCCACGAAAGTGGCAAGCGCCACAAACTGAATGTGGCCAAGAGGATAACAGACATCAGCCGGAGCAGCGTGAAATCGGAAAGGGAGCGCCAGAAAATGGACGCGGAAATACGGAAAATGGAGGAGGCAGCCATGAAGTCTTATGCCCAGGATGTCCATTCCCGTGGGGACATGACCGCAAGGTCTATTAACACTGTCTTGAGGGCAACCGCCTCCTCCAGCTCCTCTGGAAGTGGGGCCCACTCCTCTGGAAGATCCCGCCAAGTAGATCCAATGCGACTCGAAGGGCTCTCCGATGAAGAGGAGGACAACCGGCGGGTGGCTCCTGGCAAAGTGGCAGCCGAGGCAGCCGTTCCCGACGCCTCCCTTTGGGTGGAGGGCAAATCGGATGAGGGACACACCTATTACTGGAACGTTAAGACCAACGAATCCGTTTGGAAACCTCCCAAGGAGGGGTACCTGTCCTACGAAGAGTACGAGCGGATCAACCAACTGGCCATTGATCAGCAGGAGATCTCACAGGCCCAGGAATCGCTCAAATTTCGAGCCAACGCCGATGAGGAAGTGGCGCGGGTGAATCGGGAAAAGATGAAGGCCTTCCGGAAACCCGACAATCCCAAGGAGAAAAAGCAAAGGGAAGAGAAGCGTCAGGCGTTCAAAACGGAGGAAGAGGCGGCCACCAAGGAGATTGGCCAGTGGCAAACTGTGGTGACCAAGTATGCTCGAGAATAAGGGATCTTTCTTTGTATAATTACCCTTTTCCTGTATTTTTAGAGCACCTGAGGAGCCCATCGACTGGCAGTTGCCCCAAACGGATTACTACACTGCCGCTCCCGTGATTTCGGCTCCCAGTGAACCTGAACCTCCAGCCAAGCGATTCAAGGAGAAGACCATTGGCGGTCTGGATCTTGAGACAGCCGCTAGTGCACCTGCCACGTTCAAAAAGAAGTTTATCAAAAAGGGAAATAGCCGCCAACGCACGGAGGATTAGGTACTTAATATAGTTTATATACGTTATCAGTAGATTATAAATGAAACTATATGAAGTAACACTTGAGCTGACCCTCGCTGTGGCTAAGATTTTTGCAACGTAATGATTTTTAAATGATCCTTTTAAATGCGGGTAGTATGTGCACCACTCTGGGGCAGAACATACGAATCGTTTTTTTTATATTAACTAATAATATTAGATCATTAACATCGTAATTTATATTTCATTTCAAAATCGATTACTTTCGATAAACAGGTTTATGTCACTGCTAAAATGATGGCATACTTAGGTATTTTTATTTAATACAGTTTTGGGAGCAGCAAGTGGTATATTTCGATTGCCATGGGACGGTCACTCTGCTGTTTTTGTTGAAGGCGAGCGGCTGGATTTGCGTCGGAATTTCGGAGAGTCGCGCTATTTGTTCGCTGCATCGAGTGCCTTGTGTCTTGTCTGTGTTGTTTTGTTTCGTTTTCGCTGTTCGTTTTTCATTCGTTTTTAATTCCGCGTTGCAAACAAACAAGAAGAAGGGGAAGCAGCAAAAGTGGCGAGTGCAGTCGCAGCGTCGAAATTTCAATTGAAATCTGTGTGGCTATTGCAGCGGCATTCTGTGTAAATAAATTGAATTAAAGCAACGTCTTGCAGGCAGCCCCCTGAAAAAAGTTTGCAAATCAAAAGAAGTAAACAAAAAAGGAGCAATCGAAAATAGTGGTTTTCGATCAATTACAGAACACACACACACCTGTGACTTTCGTGTGTAGTAGTGTGTGTGAGTGTGAGCGAAGGAGAGGAAAGGTCAAGACGAAAATTGCGTAAAGTGGAAAGGGTACGGAAGAGCGAGAGCGAAGAGTTACGTCAATTACGTACAAGCGATAAATAATATCCGATAACTGGCGACCGCTTCCGATTTCTTATATCGATCGTGCAAAGGAGATAAAAGGAAGAGGTCAAGGCAAAATTAACGTCAGTTACGTATTCATGATAAAAAATAAGAGAAATACCATAATCCATAAACAATCTCGATTGTGCTAAGCGGAAAGTCGCGGAAAGAGAGCGGAGATTTACGTCAAGTACGAAAAACGATATCAGATAACCCTTTACCGATTTCGATTCCTGAAAAATCAGGAAAATCAGGCAAGATTCAGTTCGTCTACGTTTACAACGGTACCGCGCCCCACGCCGCCTCCTCCTACCGCACCGCCGTCGCCCCCTTTGCGCCCTACGCGGCCGAGCGGACCACCCACCACCCACTCCCACCCTCTGACCTTCAGGAGCAACTGCCCTCCGATACCGAGCAGCTAGCAGGAACGGATCAGGAGCCGGAAGAGGAGGAATCTGAGGAGGAGCGCGCAGGTAGCGGACCCTCGATCAAGCCGCTCATAGGAACAGCAACAACAACACCGGAAGCGGTACAAAAGGCGGCGGCAAAAGAGACGGCAACAATGGCGGTGGTGCGCAAGAAACAGGACGATAAATACCTGCTCGCTCTGCGGGAATTGGTGGCCAGCGGTTCGGGGGGCAATCGGCAGTGCTTCGACTGCGGACAGAAAGGACCAACCTACGTGAACATGACCATCGGCTCCTTTGTCTGCACCCGCTGCTCCGGAGTCCTGTAAGTACCTTACCTATGACACTAGGACAATGGACGTAGTCCCCGATACCAGGAAATTGTAATTTTCCGTATCAGTCGACTAGTCGGGAGGTCCATATTCATCAAACTTTATATTAACTAAACATCACATTTGATAATTTCCTAGATTTTAATTCGTTTTTTGAGTATTACTTTATTTTATTATTTTAAACCTAAGAAATGAAAAGGGACGCATACTTATCAATCTTAAATATTATGAGTATATAAGTTTCTTTGAAAATATATAAGTTTTGAAAATCTGAAATGATTAAAATATTAGTTTTCTACCACACAAGTCAAAATAAATCAACTTAAAAAAATGGGTTTCCCTTATTAGTCATGCTTTGCGGGGAATGGTTCAAATGACGCGGAAACTCTTATCAAAAACAATGGCTTCTTGAACTGATTTTCGACAAATGGATTACCCCGGGGAATTGATTTAATGTATATAGATTTCAATCCTACGAAAATAGACTCAAGGCAATTGAGTCTTCAAATGGGATTTAAAATTTAAAAATACCGACATCTCTTTCGGCACCAGGAGCTTTCTTGGTCTGGCCTCTTATCTTTACTTGAACCCATCCAACTTGAACTCGCTTGACGTCAATTTTCGATCAGTTGCCGAGTGGAGTGACCGATAATTTCCGCTCGATGCAACGTCCGATCCCGTCTCCCCATTATTATTTTGTATTTTGTGTGAAAGCGAAAGCAATTCCCCCGAACAATTTCGCACAATTTGGTTTCCTTTCCTTTTCGAAATGCAAATCGAAAACAAAACTTTCAATTGCGCGACATCGCGCCAAACGAAATTGTTTTGTCTTCGCGGCGGCGCTTTCTATTCGTGTTTTTTTTTGTGACAGCTTGGAGGGCCGCCCACCTGGCGGTTGAGTTGTGGGTGTCCTTGGCGCCCCTTAACTTTTAACCCCCTCCAGTAATTTGCCAATTTGGCTCTGATTTGTGCACACCATAACCAAATTGGGGTCATATATTACTACTCCTCCGCCGCTGCATTTGATTTGATTTACGCATTTCCGGATGAAGCCCATTACATGATTGCTCTTAAACTTCCGCCTGGCTCAGGTCCAAAACCCCAGTCTCCCACGAGCTGTGCCCCAGATTGTGGACTCTCAATTGGACAGCATGCGGGCTCCTCCATTGAGTTATCTCTATCATCAAAACCTGGTTGCGAAGTGGCCAACTGCGATGCCATTCTCTCGTCTGCAGTTTGCATTTTTCCCCCAACTCCTTGGGTGACTCATTGCCCATTCCTCGGTCTTCAGTCCTCAATCCTCGTTGCCAACTGCCAAGGGAAACAAATGTTGGCATGTAAATGAAAAGCCGCATAAATGCCGGGGACACAAAACGGTTGCACTGGGAGAAACTATTAAAATGCCTTGTACTCTTAGTAGGTATGAACCTTTGGTTTTTCGAGACTAAAAATTGCTATTATTTGGAATATATTATTCCATTACCCATGTTTAATTGAAGAACTTTTTACTTTTATTTGTGATTATTACCGAATTGATCCCAAGTTAAAGGATTTTGAAATTCAAACTAACAATCGCGAAACCAATTTTTTTGGGGATAAGAAAATCTTAGTTTCAAACTATTTTTTCCCTGTGTAGTCGAAGGGGTGTGCGAAGGTACTGCACCATAATAGGGGACACAAAAGAGGAAGGGGGCGTGGCAGGGGAGACGGCAGGCGACAACGAACTTCCTGGCTGAAAATGCGACTTGCGACTGAGACTTGCGACAGGGGAACGAGTGCAGGGAATACCAAATGAAACCGACTCCAAGAAGAAATTGCTGTTCATGTTCAGCCCGCCTTTGGATATTGGAACCCGGCGCAGACCGGCCGGCCACTTGGAGTGCTTAATGTAGGAAGCGGCTCAGGAATGAGGGAACGAGAATGGGATTGGGAGTGGGTTTCAGAATGGGAAAGGCCGAGGAGCGGGGAAAAACCTGTCCGACAGCTTTTGCCACATTACTCGAATGTATTTTCGGGCTGAAGTTGCTGCTGTTGTGCCTCCAATTGCAGACAAATTGTTGCACCTCAATCAAGCAGCCGTTGCCGCCATCTGCTCCTCCTCCTTTTGGTCTTTTTGGACGCTCACTGCGGCTTTGGCTTTGGCAGAGTTCAAAGCTTGCTGGCTCATAAAAGTCAAGAAACTTGTTGATTAGATAAGGCGAAAGCAAACCAACATTGGGAGCAGAGCAGCAATGGTGAGCCACTTTCTCAGGCTTCGTCATCATTTCCACCGCACACAAAGCACTAACTACGCACAGCAATGGTCATTTAAATATGAAGTTGCCGGCTTAATAGTGCATTATTCAATTATTAAATAACCGAGCAATGTGAGTAAGCGCGAGAGCAACAGAAGTTCATTAGTTCCTAGGCAGTAGTAACTGGATTTAATTTATGCATATACAAATGTTTCTGTTTCGATCCAACAATTTTGACATTAAATGTGAGTTTCGAAATAAGAAATATCATTCAATTTGTTTCCTGTTTGGTTTCCTGCTCTTCTTGAATATAATATTCTTTATCTGTAGTTCGTTAAAACACAAAACAAACGTCTGTTCACTTCCGTTAAGGTCATAATATTTATATGATGTGTGATTTCCTTTGACATTCAAATATTTTCTTCCAATGATTCATATTTACAAGAAGAGTGTAAAAACATTATCACAATACACATTTTCGTTAGTGGCTTTATCTTTTATCTTTAAACACCCTTTAAAATTGTATTGTATTTCCTAATGGGTATGCACTTTTTGGTGCAATAACTTAACTTACTTTGTGTTTGACATGTTTCTGTGCCCCTGGCTGTATGTTTTCAGTCGCTCGTGTGGTTGTCTATGGCTACAGTCATGCTATAGGTACACAGAAAGAAAACACCCATTATAAGATGATCAATTTGATGATTAACTCAAAAATTCTGATATTCATTCGATCTTATGACATCAATAATATGATTAAAAGCTGGGATTTTCAAATATACTAGCATATAACCAATGCTTTTTGAATCAACTTATTATATGTATCCCTTAGATATTAGTTACTCATCAAAAAGATATGAACATTGTAAATATTTATTCAAGTGATACATTGGTTTATACTATTTTTTTCTGTGTGGCTTTATAGTCAGTGCATGCGTCAGCGGGCAAGTGAACTGTGGACCCCTCCCACCGTGCCCCTTTTTTCGATCCCCAAAGCATTGGCATTGCAGTTGCAGTCGAACTGGGCCAACTGCCTTCGAGTGGAGCTCACAAAAAGCTCAGAGCACGTCTTTCTCTCTCTTTTGACCCGTTCTGTGCGGCTCATATGTAAATTTCCGATTATGAAACAGCATAAACATGTCTGCATTTGACAGCTCCCAAAAGAGGTGGATAGGGGGGAAAAGGGCGGGTGTGGGGCAAACTTTCACCATGCGGTGTCAGCTGTGCGGCCACTTTATTTCTGGCTCTCTATCCGCCGAAAAAAGCCAAGACAACAAACGAACAAACTAAAAGAAAAGCAACCAAAAGGCAAAGCGTAAGAGCAATTAAATATAAATAACAAGCGGCCAAATGGGAACGGGTGTGCGATTGTGTGTACAGCACACCCATTTATGTATTTTGTCTTTGTAGTCGAATATTCAAAATGCAAAATGTTTTCCACATGGAAAAATGTAATTCCACTCGGTTTTCAGTAAAGATGTCTGTAAAAGTTTTATTCGAAAGTTTTTAATTATTTTTTTCTCTTCAAAATTCTATTTTATGGATCTTAATATTTATTTTTGGAATATTATAATTATTATATATTTTATCTAACAAAGTTAGTAAAGATAAAAAATAAACAAGAAAAGAATTAATGTATTCTTCAATAGCAATGTGTTACGATTTCCAGCTAATATAACTTTTGACTTTTGTTGTCTACATGTTTTTTTTCATCTTGAAAATAATATACCATTTTAAACTTCTTTTTTTATTTTCGTAATATGTAAGCCCGAAATAAAAGGAGAAAAAAGTCGCAATTGTATTTTTCTTATGATATAATTTTGGATCAACGTAATCCGATAAGGACTGTTCAAATTAAAAAAATGTTATAAAACTTAAATTAATGACTCGATATTTTGTAGGTTTTGAGTTCGTGTTGAGTTCCTGGAATCAAAACGAATGGAATTGAATTGAATCACTCCCAACTCGTTTAGCATTTGAGGAAATGTTTGTGAATCGCTTATGAGTTTTGGAAGAAGAAGAGAATCTGGTGAGGGGGCTGATAGAGATAGGAATATATAGATAGAGATGATCATAAAGAAGGTGGTGGGGCTGACCGGCAATTATTGCGCAGTTTTGATTCAAAGCAAACACAAACACTTTGCAAAGGTGTCGTTTTTGTAATTGCTGTTGGTTCCTTTGTTTCACTGTTGTTGCTTCCACCACCCGCCTTAATCCCTCCCAGCCCCCTTTACCACCCCCTCAATCCCTCCTCTGTTTGTTTTGGCGCTTGCCTTGAAATAGAGATTTCAATTCTATTAATAATGCAGAGGCGCAAACGCCGAGCGGCAAAAGCGATTTGGCTCTCGATTCTGAATTCTCAATTCTCAGATGTGAGTGTAATTTGAATGCGGAAATATGTGGGTGAGAATTGGAGAAGGGCGAGGGAGAGTGCTCCAGTTTGTCCCACTGGGCGCCTTTCCCTCCCCCAAAAAAAACATAGAAAACAGCTGGAGAGAAGAGGCCAATTAAGAGTGCGTCTACACCTAAAGAAAATTCTTAAGAATATTTAAAACATATTCGTTGGCTTAAAAGTGATGATTGAATTTTTCTTTACAAATTTATTATACCCATTTTTGCTAGGGTCTGTAATTTTTTTGAAGGCATTGTTTTGACGTGATTCTTTGCCTCATTAAACCAAAGCAAAACCAAAGTTTTACTCAGAATCTAAAGTTAATCTTAAATTAAGATCCAATTTATTGTATTTTAATACAACAATTGTT